ATCACAATAGAAAATTTAAGATAAGATTTTGACTATGAATCAGACTAAAAATACTTTAGTCTGATTCATAGTCAAAATCTGTTTCTAAATATTCTACACCTGATAACAATGACAAGGAATCATCAGAGTCACTCTCTTCACTACTGTCTGCACCAACAGATATAATAAATTTTTCAAGTTCGTTTTCAACAATGCCATCTTTTAATTTGTAATCATTTTCGACATTTAAAACATGATCAGTGTATTTCTTCCAGTCACTAGGGGTAATTAAGTTAAAACACTCTATTATTAAGTTTTCCATTTCCTTTCCTGGTATTCCAATGTTTCTGCTTGCAATTTTTCTTTTTGCTTGACTCCAAACCATCTCTATTGGGTTTAAGTCACAATGATACGGTGGCAGCAATAAAAGTTCATGATTATGTTCTTTTAAAATCTCTTCAGCTTCATATACAGGCAAAACACATTAACTCTGCCTTTGTCTGATATTCCTCAAAATGTATTCCATTATTTACAAGCCATTTACGGATATCTGCTTTGGTATTAGACATTATAGGCGGTTTATTGATTTGTTTTATATGGTAGCTGGCATTATCCATAACAATTACACTGGGCTTACTTAAATTTGGTATTAATTTTTCTCTGACCCATTTCATAAAGTTCGATGAGTTCATATCATCATGATAATCAGCAGATTTGGATTTACTACTGAACACTAATAATGCACCAGGCACAAAACCTTCCTCAGATCCAGCATGCACAACAATATGCCGTTTTCCAGAGGATATCTTTGTAGTGACACCAGTTGTTGAAGGTCCTTGCCAAGACTTTTTAACTTTATAATTCTGATGTACATAAGTTTCATCAAGGTACACAATTTGCTTTCCTTCGTTTCGTTTTATATTTATTTCTCTCAAATACTTGTGCCTCCATGCAGAAATCTGGTATTTTTCTATAAGCATAGAACATTCATTTTCATTGCTTTTAAAAGAAAATCCATTCTTAAGCATAATTTTTCGTAAAGTCTCACGGCTACCACTGAATCCTATTGCATCTTTTAATTCATTGTGAAGGCTTCTTAATGTTGGAACAATTTTTTTCACACAGTAAAATTCATTTACTTTATTCTGAATTGCACTTAAATCAAAATTATCTAAAGCAGACACTGTTGGTTGATGAGGTCGTTTTTTCCCAGGAGTGTCCCATTTTCCTTTATTAATTAATGCTTCATTTTTTATCCTTCTTAGTGTCCTTATACTTACATCTATAAAAGATTAAACACTTTGAAACAAAGATATGTTAAATGTATTTAAAAGCAAATAATGATAGACACATACATCAAAATAATTTAAATACCTATTCAACTATGAATGCAATTTATGTTTAATTTAGTTAAGTTTATGTGCATATTTAGCATGTATAACAATTACATGGTTTGATTAGTTTCATGAATTCTGTGAATTTCCTTGTTAAACAAAACATTCTTATGACATCATTGGATGTCAACAATAAAAACCAATACATCATAAAAAACCTATGTAAATATTATAGGAATACTATCAATCTATCTTAAATCAAAACAAGAAAAGAGACCTGTCATTGAAGAAATTTTTTGTAAGTACTGCGTTTCCGAATTCAGCATTTCTTGTTTTTCTAAAGTTTTTATTGCATTTATCTCCTCCATTATTGGTTGAATATCACCATCACAGTTATCTGAAATAGAGCAATATTTTATAAAAAATATCTGTTTAGTTAATTACAGAAAATTAAAACGAAAGTATCAAAATTATAATACAAAACTAACCTAAAAAAGATACAACTTTATCTAATCGTTGTAATTTCTCCATGAAATTTTTATTTAATTCAGTTTTCACTTCAGTAAACTTGTCAATCATGATGGAAAGAAGTTTCCTCGATGAACTTTTTATCGGCTTCGACATAATTTTTAACCAAAAACACAAGTTCAAATTCGCAAAAACAACAAAATTCAATATTCTTGAATTGTCTAACGTAGTGTCAAACTGACAGTTCTATGTTGTTGCCATATGAAAACGGAAAAATAGGTGGTGTCACGTTTCGCTTGCCAAACTCTATCTTCTGTATTATGGGGAGTAAACTAGGATCCATGGGCAGTATAGAATTAAGGTCTGGAGAGAAATACCGGATTTTCTGGATTATTAGAATTAGACTTAAATATAAATAAAGTCCTATCGGTAGAATTAAGTCGAGATATTGGGAGGAAACAATATTATGTGTACTAATTGGTCGATGTACACTAGGATGCTGTGCTCATATGATGATCATAGTTTGGTATCTTAGATGGGCCAGACATGAACAGAATGTAGCTGCTCCTGCAGGATTCCGTATTCATTAGAGTTGTAATAAAGAAAAGAAAAATCAACATGTTGTTTTGCTATATCCTTTTGGAATTAGTATTTTCACTACTACTTTATATAAGTTATAGTGTAAGATAGAAAAGTAGAGTTATTGAGAGCAATCTTAAAAATTCTATTATTTTTTTTTTGAAGTTCATTGGTTCACAAAAAAATATTTTATTTCTTATAGTCAATAAAAATAATTTATCAGATATGGAGCAAGTTTGAAGTATTATGTGAAAGTATGCACTTCTAGGATTACGATTAGGCATTATCTGACGTATGCTTTACATATTTCAACTGTAATACCTCTAACTCAAAATGCTACAGTTTAAATAATACGACATAACCTCAAAAACAAATTTCACAATTACTCGATACTCCCAGCTTTTAAAAATATATTTAATGCCTTTCTTTGTTCTAGTTGCATAGGCAAACAAAATAACATATGTTTCATCAAGTTACGTTTTATTCGATTTTACTATTCCAAGCATGTTAGACAGATGGCCATTGTTCTTTGATCAATAATTGAAATCCATTTTGGTGTAGTGATTCGTGTTCTCGATAACAAAGCTGCGTGCCGTGCATGAACATACAAGTTTGTATCGGTCTGGGTGTTTTTTGTAAGTATTTTGAGTATCTATTTACAACATAACTATTTAAAGTAAAAGATACGTTCCCTGAAAGTGACTTAAATCGGTGATTGAATGTCCGCAAAAACTTAAGTAACAGTTGGTTCTTTCTGTGAGCATTAAAATTATAGAGAGTAATCACTTTCTTATCGCAGTTTCTTTCGTCAGTTCTTTAGTAGATATATAGTGTTGATAGTACTGAAAGATTATTTCGCTATACATTGCCTTCTTAACATTGTAACGTAAGTCTTAAATTATTATATGTGCAAAAATAATGGATTTTATAATTCCACTGTTATTTAAATAGAAAACCTCCTACCTCCCTAAATTATCAACATATATAATTACACGTATATTTTACTAGGAAAAATAAAATTGACAATGCGACTCCATACTTACCCAGTTCCGAAGCTTAGTTTTCGCCCAGAGTATTAACACAGAATATACTTTGTGATATTATTGTCCAATGTAAGATCTATGGTTTAGTGGCGTATTTGAGTATTGTTTTAATACTGAAGGCTTTATTAATCTCGTTATATTATTAATCGAAGTTTTTAATGTATGATATAATAATAATCCTTTTAAGTCAAACAAAAAAGTAGGAATGCAGAGTATTCTACAGGAAAGAAATGACTTATGTCTTGGAAGACTTTTCTTTTTGACTGTTTAGTTTCATGAAATTTATAACGCAGATTTATATTATTTTAAAAAAATCACTATAAACAATAAAAAAATCAATAAAGTAAACGAAGAGATTGCAAATCTTAAAAAAATATATTTTAAGGTCTTGGTATTCTTGCTTGTATAGATTCCTTAATTATATTGAATGAAAATTTTTATTTGTTCAAATAAAATAGTTATATACTCGCAAATATATGACAAAACAAAGTATTAAATACTTAAATGTGTGTTCTGAGCTTAAATGTCTGGCATCGGGGTAAAAATAACATATGAATCTGATTAAATAGGTAAGCATCTTTGCCTATATACTGTACGCCTGAGTTGTGTAATAATGCCACCACGTGATTCGGAACTAAGGTTCAGAATAAATTTAATCTAACCTGAACCTGACTTGTTTATAATCTAACGAGACAGAATATGAAGTAGATACAACATTTTTTCGAATATTAAATGGACACGTCACGAATTATCTGTACGTGTAGGCCACGTCACAAAAAAAAAAACAGTGTTGCCAGAGCCATATTTTTTATTGCCGTGTTTAGTAGGCAAAACCACCATATTTATAAGGAAAAGATATGTTGCCTGCCAAAGCAAATATTAATTGCAGCATATTTATTCTTCACCTTATTTAATAAATTGTCGTAAATTTTGCTATGGCTGTATTTCTGGCAAAGAGCTCAATAGCTCAGAGGTCAGCGCGCTCGATCTGCGATACAGTTGTTAAACAACTTCCGCAAGGATTGGTCATTGAATGAGTAACCAAAAAATTATTATCTCAAGCTCCTACGTGCTTCAGAATGACAGTAACACCCACCTATCTACACTGGGCCCGCGTGATGGGTCATGGATGGCCCATTCTCCCTATTTGAATTGGTTCAATTCCATCTATAGAGAAGGCCTGAGTCCCATCAATAAAGACATTAATAGACTGATAATGTGATAGTACTGCCGTAGGCCGTAATTTTGTCTTTAATTATGTCAAATTTCCATTAGGTACGGCAATGGCCGTTAATAAAAATGTTTCAAACAATGAATTGCTAGATATTTTAATGATTTATTTTTAAATACTTCTTAATTTAGGGAAATCTGAGAAATTATAATTGGCAACCCTTTGTTCCACACAAAGAGTATAAGGTATATGAGGGGAATCCACTATTTCCATCACTTGCATAACATTACAACATTAATCTACTCATTGGTTCATTCAATTTTCTGACGCACAGATTATATTTCTGACGTAGTCACTACAAAAAGGAAAACGTTTTCATTCTCTTTGTGATTCTCTTTGACGAAAGATTGTGTTTATAAGACAGTGATTGGATTTAATTATTTGAAATTGTGATATACTAATCTATTTCTGCAAAATTATTAAGTTTTTCTTGTGATCATTATCTTGAGCAGAATTAATTATTAGAAATGACGCCCAACATTCAAACGTTCATTAATAGCTTTCAAAATAGACTGTAAGTTCTTATTTATTATATGTTTTTACTAATTTTTATAGTAAGACATGCTTTTCTTCTTTATTAAGGTAACTTTCAATTTCTTACTAATTATAAACAAGTTAACGAGGTCAATGTATGCTCTCATGTTTGTTCTAGACGTATCCATATTACGTCGTCACGTAGTAACAATAGCTGCTATATTTTTCATAATACATCAATTTCCAACTTTTACTTTTTATATTTGCCAATGTCTAGAATTATTTTTTTCAATATTACCCTATAATTTAATAAACTTACCAACAAAATGGCAAATCTATATAACATATATGCTAATATATTTTAAATAACAATTTGGGATGTTAAATATTAGTCACATTTACTTTCTTTACAGGGAACAACCAGTTCGGCAACATCTTAAAAATGTCTATGCTACCCTCATGATGACTTGTGCTTCAGCATCAGTTGGAGTCTATGTGGACATGTTCACAAGATTTCAGGCTGGTTTTCTGTCTGCTATCCTTGGTGCTGGATTGATGCTAATGCTTATTGCAACACCAGATAATGGCAAAAACACAAAACTTCGACTGGGATACCTCTTAGGTTTTGGATTGACATCAGGTATTCATTTCATTTGAAATCATATTTTCTAATCCTATCTTGTATTAGATGGTATCTGGCTTAAAAAGTGGGTTAATACTTGGCTTATTTTGTAAGGTGATTCATCTTTAAAATTTCAACAGTATATTTATACTATTAAACTTCTAATAAGATATTTGACATAATGAGTAGTTATGGTTGCTTTATGTTGTTGAAATTGGAAAAAGTTTTCATATTAAAATATTGACCAATAATTTAAAATCATCCTTCAGCTATTTGGACAGCAGCTAAAACATTGAAATTACTTATTTGTCTATTTAGTGAAAAGAGACAGTTAATTTTTTCAGTACTTCTCTTATTAGATTAATAGATATAGGATTGCAAATACAAATATTTATTCATACAGTTTAATTTGTTTGTAACTACTTACTACATACATATTTGGTCATATATGAACAACTGTATTAATGCAGTTTGCTAATTAACTTGTTTTTCAGGAATGAGCATGGGTCCACTACTAGAGTATGTCAGTGTTGTTGATCCATCAATAATAGTAACAGCTCTTCTTGGCACAACACTAGTCTTTGTATGCTTCTCTATAGCTGCTATGCTAGCAGAACGTGGCAGTTGGCTGTTCCTTGGTGGTACTTTGATGACTCTACTAGCATCTATGTCTCTGATGACCCTAGTTAACTTGTTCATGCAGTCACACTTTTTGTACCAAGTGAGTAAAAATTGTATAAACATATAGCATTATGAACTTAACATAAATTTTAGTCACCAGACTCCTACATCAAAGTGAAAAAACATACTATGTTATAATAATTCAAATACTTGTTATAAAATTTTACTCAACAGTCATATTTTATAGTAATCTATCTGTTTGGTTATACCAATACTGGTTTTGCCAACATATATGTGTTCATTAAGAATATATAAATAAAGACTTAGGCAGCATCACATACATTGCTCAGATTCCATCTAAGCACCCATATTACAGTGTATCTGAGACAACGAAGGTACCACAAAACCCGGACCTGCAACTATATAGGAGTTTTTTCTACATTAACCTGACTGGGATTCGAACCCGAGACCTCCGAGATGGCGACACCTTGAAACCAGTGCAAACCACTCAAAATGTATAGATGGAGCAGAATGAACAAAGTATATGCTAATATTTTGTGCTTTAATCATTTATATGCTAAAATAATTTCATACTCCAATTGTAGCATATTTCTTTAAACTTAAAGAATACCAAATTTTACAAAAGTAGCCTTTTTTATAAATTGAGTAATTTAAGTTTGAATTATTTACAGACTCATCTTTACCTTGGACTCATGGTCATGTGTGGTTTTGTACTATTTGACACCCAACTTATCATAGAGAAACGCCGCATGGGCAGCAAGGACTTTATCCAACATGCCCTAGAGTTATTCATTGATTTCATTGGAATGTTCAGAAGGCTAGTCATTATTTTAACGCAGAAGGTAAATTAAATGTTTCAATTTAAATATAAATATTTCTTTGCATTTAAAAAAGGATGACAGATGTCTTTCAGACAGCATTGAAAGATTTTACTTGCAAGTAATTAATATCAAGTAGTAATATTTGTTCTGCAAACAATTATAAAAATTATCAACAATTTAGTTGGTATGTTTTTTATTTTGTATGTTTTCATAATTTATGTTATACAACATCACATACATTGCTTGTCTCTAAATCACTCAAGCCCCAGTATTATGGAGTATCTTAAACAATGAAGGTACTACAATCCACAGATCTAAGACAATTAAAAGTTCAGTTTCTATATTGATTGAAATAAACAGTAGCAATGCTTATAATAATAGGGTTAAGTAGCAAGATTTAATGATCAGTCTCAATATACTATCACATCTATGCATATATTAACAGAAGAAAAAAATTTTTTTTTGTTTGTTTGCATTGAATGAGCCCTGAAACTATTTATAGAATTTTAACAATTATTTCACCAACGGGAAACTACAGCATAATGCCGGAAGTCCCTGGTAAACAGCTATACTTCATGAAATTTCTATTTGATCTTGTTTGGTTTCACCACCTATAGACTTAGGTCTCTGTGTCTACATATAACATACACACTTTTATCTTATCACCCCATACTAATTGCTCTAAAAATAATTAATCTATGTTGAGTTAATAATGCACATGTAGTAAGCTATTATTTTCATAATATTAATTCCTGATAGTTCTTGAAGTATCTATTTCTTGAATTTTTAATGATTCAATTTTAGTAATTGTATTACAAATAAGTTCAATTTCGTCTTATTCTTGTCTACATGACTGCACTTCAGGCTATCAATATGTGAAATTCGCACTAGTGATTTCGTACTCTACTCTTAATATGTTACGGTTTAAAATCAAGTGGAGAAATTTGACAATTATAGCCTGACGTTCTGTTGATAGTACTTTGTTTTCATATAGCTTGTGTCTATAATATCAAGTTTTAAATTGCCTGCACATTTTTTTATCTTTATCTGAAAAAAATATGTTGATGTTTGATGCCCTCAAGGCTAATGTGTATTTAGAAATTGTCATGTTAAAATTATTATTTCAGGAGGAACAAAATCGTCGCCGCAAGCGTGATTAAGCAGAACATGTTCTCAAGTGTTCATACAAGTATTTTCTTTAATATTTCTGTAATATGTAACATAACAATTATTTGAGTTGAATTATTTAAAAGCATAAATTGGAAGTATAGGAACAGATTGAAATAAAGTTTTAAGGGTTTAATGTGTTTTTATTCCTATCCTAATTGATATTTGCTTTATGGAAAAAGTAGCATCTTTGAAGGAGCATGTTCACCAAATAATATAATTAGTTCTTGGTAATCTCAAGTTATTTTATATCAGGTACTACTCCATTTGAACATCCCAGTTCAGGGTTCGGGAAACAGACGGCTCTTACGATGTTAATTTCGCATTCAAATTCCATTTACAAGCCATGTATAGTTACATACATGATATAAAGAAATTCATTGTAGTATTTTTTGATTTAAGGAAAATATTGAAACGTAATTTTTCAGTGGCTCTTTAAATGCTAAGAAAAAGAAATTGCTATTAATAGCACTTAAGTCTCACAAGGTTGCCGACCCCTGCTCTTATTCATATTTTGGTGACAAAATATCCAAAATTGGAATAATTCTAATAACGATTTCTAGGTTTTGTCAGATTCATACAACATTTTGTCAACAAAACACGAGATTCAAATTCAAAGAGTGACACAGCGGCGCAGCTGTACAAATGTAAGTGATAACACCGAGATAACACACTTCGTCTAGAAAATTTTCGCTTTAACTGATACCTACCCTACCTTTACGTTGATTAAATTAAAAAATATATATGTTCTCTGTAACATTTAATAATACAATAATATGAAGCCAACGATATTTTACCTAGTAACATCTGTGATTTTAATGATTTTCCTAACAAAAATATATAAGTACATTCGTTTTGCCTTTTACTAATGATATGGTGTTACTACAAGACGAAATTTCTTCAATCTATTTTAAGTCTTAATTTGTTGATATTTAAGTTCATATTTATTGCAGAAACCTTATACTGTATGTGCTGCTGATTAAACAGCTGCTAACTTTTTTAAAAATAAATCCGTTTTAGGTAATTCTTTTTTTTAATTAAATATGTGTCTGAAATATAAGAAATTATCAAAAAATAAAAGGCCCAGGGCGGCAATAATCAACAACTGAGACAGAAACTTGATATTGCGTTATTATATTATTATAGTTTTGGCAGATGATTGCATCCTTTTGGGTCAGGACCCGAGGCGGAATCGCCCCCACCCTCCTTATTCCGCCATTGCCTTAGTAAGGTACCTAATCGTATTTGGGAGTTGGAAATATCGAGTGTTGAACATTTTAACAATTGTACATTAATTGCTAAACTGAATCGAAGACGTTACGCCCGAGATTCTGTCCATTACTTTAAAATATCCACCATCATCCGCTGTGTGGAGAAATCCTACCTATTAATATCGAATATAGCGTGCTCGAGGTATTATCTACAGCAGTGATTCCCTAAGTGGTCCAGGTGGACCCCCAAGGGTCCACGAGGGATTCAATGGGGGCCCTACGTTGGCGTGAAATAAAAAATAGAAGAGGCAAATTTAGGGTTAGAACTCACCCGCGACGCCAATTTCCATCGTTAGATCTTCATATTCGACGAATTTTGGGAATATGGTAAAACTGTAGCAGCAGGGGGTCTACGAGAAAAAATTGTTTGGGAACCTCTGATCTAGAGGGTTGACAGCTTCAAAATGAAAATATAAGATTCTTTCAAGTTTTTAATAAAATCAAACAAAATCATTAAAAAATAATTTCAAACTTCAGTAGCTTTCAAAGTGTACTTTCAAAAACCACTAACGCTATGTAGGTACTTATAATAAAGAAACATGATGTATTTAGAAAGCAAATTAAGTAGTTATTTATAATTCATCTTGGGCGATGTCTTTTTTAATTATCAACTAAGTGATTATGTACTGAGAAAAGGCACTCTCTGGCTAGGACTTGACTAATTTATATATTTTTTTAACATATGATCGTTAACTGTTTTCTTCCTGGGGGTGTATTTTATTATTATCATTAAAAAATATTCTTTTAGCTTTCTCGAACTCGTTATTCACCAATATTCCAATAAAATTAGCAACATTTCTTTCACCACTTGCGAGAGAATTGTGCGTCTCTTCTTTGAGATTTGTCTCAGTTCTCGACTGCAACTCTTCAGATGTCAAGTTATTGTTTGTTTTAGATTTACTTACAATATATAGTTTTCCTGGTAATTTACATGAACAGCAGTAGCACTTCTTATACTGCGATGCTATACCCGTCGAACTCCCACTCCGAATAATGTATTCATATGTGGAAACTCCTAATATCGATATATAAATATGGAAACATAATAAATGCATTAAAGCACATGCGACAGCTACAGCACATACGCAGAATATAATTAAAAATAGTAAAAACATTATCGAATGTCTGCAAAATTTTATATCCTGTTCAAGAGATATATTCGAAAATCTCGTAATGGAGCAATTCACAATATCTTGTGTTTCAGTACTCAACTGTTGAGGATCTGTTATAAACAACACAATATCTATTAAGCACAATAACAAAGTCATAAAAGACAATAAGAGAGCAGTAACTACGCTTGCGATAAATGCTCCGTAGTTTCTATTACCCACGCAGTTATTCAGCCATTTACAATGATGGTCAAATCGATCCACACACTTATTGCACAGGCTGCAGTGTTTAGTCTTTTTAGTACTTGTATAAATGTTGCATATATGACACCTTCCATTTTCTATTACATGGGCGTGGATATTACGATCGAATTCTGGTACAGTATTTATCTCCATTTTTCGTAGTTCCTTTTCACTGGGATCTAGTAGAGTTGCAGTCAAGTGTGACACAATGTGCGCTGCATATAATATTACGTAGATAATTTGTGTTGTTATCTTAACTTTCGGGACTTGTATTTGTACGAGGATAGCGAAATTTAAAATACATGTCACCACAAAAATTATCCATCCTATAACTTGTAAGTAATTTAAGGGTAACTGCAGACCATTTATTCGCCGTTGAGGTCGCTTTGCTTGATATAATGAACAACATTTGTGCATTTGTATGCGATTTAAACAATCGTTAATAGGTATCACTTCTATGATTAATTAAAACAGAAACTAAAACTACTAAAATGTCACAACCGTAATATTACTGCGCGCGCATTATATCATTTAAACTGCGGTGTGGTACCATCCCTCCCTATTAGCTAAATGAATCCATTAGTTAAATTAGAAAACCTATTTTTTACGCAACAAAAGATATAAATAAAAAAGGATACAGCGTTTCCAAATTTTCTAAATCAGGGTGTAGCTTGATAAAGGTACTTTATCTGATCAGAAGTAATAAAACTAATAGTTTAGTTTCTATGACGACGGGCTAACAACAAATAATTAATACGTCATCTAAGAAAATAAGTAACAAATGAGGTGAATTGGGAGACAAAAATGGTTAAGTTTTAAGATTCCGATAAAATTATCACTTCACTAAGTTCACGAAACAAAAAAACTGCCACCTTACTCTCGAACGCAATCGCGACCGATCAACATTGCAATAGGCTTGAATCCTACAAGTGAAAATACAGGTTTTTGTTATATCTTCGAAAAATATGAACCATTTTAACTTATAAATGTTTAACAAAACAAATTTTAAGTCACTGATTTGGAAAAGTATTTATATAAATATTTACGCTTTGAAATATTGAAAAAAGTAGAGAAAATCTACTACAAAAATTTGCTAAAATACATAAGGCATTAAATTAGATATAAAAAATGTTACAACTTTTATAATAACAGCTATAAATATAAACGCACAAATAACAAAGATATTACAAAAATTGTCCAGACGCCCATAAATTTTTCGCTACTGTAGCACCGTGTGACGTCACTGAGTGTCTTGAATTTGTACGTAGCGTTTTCGGCCAACTAGCAGCAGTTCTACAAACACAGCACCGTATCTCCGAAACTATTAATCACAGACATGCTGTTACTTCGACATTATTTCTCAGATGTTAATGGACTATTTATTTATGAAATAAAAAAAAGTTGTCAACTAGCCTATCGTACCGCTCGATTGGCTCACTAGCATACTCTGGTGTTAGTCCCCATCAAGAATGCGGAGCGGCACAATGGCAATGTCTACCTGTCGCGATTGCGTTGGAGATTAAGACGGCTGATTATCGTTATTGTTTATAAAAGCAATTATTAAAAATTATAGTTCTAGCGTACTTTGACACTTATTGATTCCTTAGGGTCCTGTTTTATTAACGAAATAATCGTATGTATTCGACTCAGTGCGAGCCGGATCGGTACATTTAAAACTTGTAAAAAAACATATAACCTCTTTTTTGATTTCGAAGTCGGTATAAGACTGATAAGTTACCACGATGCAGTAGTACTTGTTTTTGCCATCTTTATTTTTGTAGAGTGCATTCACACACTTCTAACAACATTTATTAGTACTAACAATTAACATTTACCAATGTTGAAAAAATTTAAAATTTTAGGACAGTTAAATGATTTTTTTTGTCAAGAAAATTTTATGCATGTTTTAGCTGTGATAGCACCCTTAGAAATATGATGTAATTATCACAATTTGAATTTGATGAGGTAATAAATATTAGGCTACTTTTATTAACAAACAAGTATAGGAATCCTACATAAGAATATGCAAGTCTAAATTATGATGTTTCTTAATGTAATAACTGTTGTAATAATTATTTTGATTATATTTTCTTTTTCTAAATTTCTCAATAATTATGCTAAATTTTTGATTTAATTTTCTATTATCATTGAACTTGTTTATGTTTAAGTTTATTTAATATTCATTCATTGTTATATTTACTGATAATACATGTACTATTTAAGTGTCGTGTCCAGCAGTTATAGGAAGGCAAATAAACAATAAATTAATTAATTATGCCTAATTGTAAGCATGTGAACTTGATTTGTTTTCTGTTGCTGTACCAAAATAAAAAAAATAAAAAAATAAAAATCCACGTGAACGAAGTCGTGGGTGGCTAGTGTTTTATAAGACGGGTTTGAGTGGGGTTTAGAAATATGCAACACCATGTAAACAATGTTTGTTGATTGTAAAAATATATATATAATTCATATTTTTTGTCTTAAATTTTATCGTGTCAATTCTTTTGAATATTTCTTAGCCATTTCTCTTCTAGTATGTACAAGTATTCTATGACCTTTGCAGTCTAAATCTTCTTCATAACATTTATTTTTGCAACATTTCTTACAGAACTGGTATTCACATTTTCCTCCCTGTAAAATTATATTTAGTATTATTATATTGTTTATAATTACTATCATTAATCAATGGATTGTTGGTGTTTACTTACAAGTGGATTAGGGCAGGTATTATTTATGCAAATTTCACCAGACCTTCCGTTTTGCTGTCTCTCTTCTTTTTCTGGTCTTCTCATAATTTTTCTTAACTTTTTCATTTTCTTTCTTGAAATAACATTCCCATCGGGGTCTTCAAATATTCTTTTACTCTCAATAACCTTTAAAATTTATTATCATAACATCAAATAAAATAAAAACACAATGGTATACCAAAAAGATGAAAATCAAATTTCTTACGCAATTTTGAAAGAAATGCTTTACTGCAAGAAAACATACTGCTTCCTTAAATTGAAGTAAAAAAGTACTCTTTCTATACATTTTCAAGCATTTTGCATCAAAGCTGAAATAATAGGGCCCGCTGTTTGGAAATCTTAATTCATGCTTGACAATGCTACCAAATCTCACTTAGTTTACAGTTGACATTTTCGAATTAAGTAATCCTGTACTAATGTAATCAGATGGCAACACCAGAAATGCACCTTTCAGCTTAAATGGTCGATGCAATATTACATTTAATATAGAATGAATACATACCTGACATTTACTTATAGTATCCATTTTTTTTGTATGCTCTTCAGGTGATATTCTTACATATGGCTGACATATCCATGGTGGAAGTATTAAGTTAAACCCATTACGAGTTATACTTTCATAGCTTCCAAAATTGATTTTACCTTCATGGTATTGCACATACTTTTCTTTAATTTTTAAGCATACTTGTTTAAAATCATCAAGAATTTGACCAACTGCTAAAAGCTGCCTAATATCAGAATTGTCTTGAAATGTAAAACTGAAAACAACAATAGTAATCACCTAAAAACTCTATGATTATTAGTATTATAAAGATAATAATAATATACTTTATTGCACACAACAGAACAAAAAACAAGTTATAGAGAATCATAAAAAAGTATACAAAAGGCAGCAATACAGCAAGATTATGTACATTATCTTGTTTTGATATCTTAAGATTTTCAAATAATTTGCAATACAAAACACAAAATGTTTCACATATATTTTTAAATATTCTCATTTTTAAATATAATATATTTTATTATAATTTGAATTTTGGTTTGATTATAATCAGGGGCGGCTTAATCTATAGTGCAGGGTGTGCAATGCACACGGGCGCAGCCGTCTCAGGGGGCGCCGCGGTGCGCCCTGTGACAGCCTAAGAGCATCGTCTTGAACCATCATGGTACAACAATGATATGACTCAAGCGGCCAGCCAGCGCGGTGGTGGCAGTTATCAAACGCGAGCGCACGATTTTGTTTCAACCAGGCCCGTCTTTACCCATGGTGCGGAGGGTGCAACGCACCCGGGGGCCGCGCGTTGGGGGGCTCCACACTGATGATCATCGGGAAATTCCCTGTAATGGGGGAGGAGAGGCACGCCAGAGCACCGCTTGCACCCGGGCGCCTGTAGTGGTTAAGACGGGCCTGATTGTAATTTGAATAATTTAAGATAAATTTATAAAAACACTTGAATATGGAGTATAAAAATGGATATGAATACGGAGCGTGATTTCAAAATTTAAGTAAGGGATTGAGTTCTATTAAAGCAATAATGCAAAATAGAATGCTACACTTACATCTTATGGAATATTTTAAATAAATGACCCCTTATATATGAGGTTGGGCAAGGATATTTTTCAACTAACTCAAGATACTCAAGAGCCATGTCCCAAGATACAGGATTAATTCCTTCAAATAGAGCTGGGTTAGTGAGTATACCTTCAGCACTCATTATTGCATCAACTTTGGTATATTCTAGACATCTATACACATCTTCTAAGCACTGAATATTGCCATTTGCAATTACGGGTATTGAAACTGCTTCCCTGAAATATATAAAAATTACTAATAAATATTAATGATGTATTGAATAAAGCAGACAGATTTAGCAGGAATCTAACCAATGACTTTTAAAATCTTTCAATCTGATCTTAGCCCATCATACCATTAACTTCCCTCAATAACTCAATTTTATTTCAATTGAATTTTTATTGGAACACTTTTAGAAATTTATATTTAATTTTCTAAGAAAAGGTAAGCATAAATTATATATGTTTTTAAATCATTAAAGCAAAATGCAATATGGAGTCTTTCTTTCTCATTAGTTCAACTGCACATTGTATGAGTAAGCTTAAATGTAGTGCTTTTCAAGTTTCAAACCAGTCCTTATACTACTAAAAATGTAAATAGTTCTATAACAATAGAAAAATTTAATTTTATATATTTAAAAATCACAAACCTAACAGCTTTAATATGTTCCCAACTGGCAATACCAGTAAGAGGACCTTTCTGTTCCCTTGTCCTCCCATGTACAGTGAGCAATTTGCACCCAGCTTCTTGTAGCATTAGAGCATACTGCACTGACTTTTCAACATCATCAAATATTCTTACCTTGCAGGTGATTGGTACTGATACAGCTTGTGACATTGTTTTTACTAAAAAGAAAACATCATACAAAATTATTATCTTATATTGTGAATATTATTTTATTTAATCATTTATATTACTAAATTGTAGTCTTATTTCAAATTATTTCAAGTCTGAATTTTATAAATTATACCAATAAGTACATTTATACCAATATCTTGCAAAAGTTTCCAATCATCTTGCAGAAATGATCCATATTTTCCTCTTTTAGCAATTGATTGTGGGCAGCCCAAATTAATATCAATTGCATCACAACTGTCTTGCACCATTTTAGCAGCTGTAGCCAATACTTCAGGATTGTTGCCACAAAACTACGATAAGTGAAATACTGCAGGTTAAAATAGTCTGTACATCCTACTCAAAATTTATTACAACGAACCTGAACAATCAAAGGTCTATCTTCTTCACATGTTATAAAACTATCTTTACGGTATTTTGGATCTTTGGTGAAAACATTACTGTGAAACATTGGCGTATAACACAATTCAGCTCCATGTCTTCGACATAAAAGTCTCCAAGCCAATTCACTAGCGTCTACCATAGGGGCAACCACAAATCGAGGTTTCCCAATTAATTCAAACCATTCTAAAGACATTGTTAGGGCTAAAGTAATTTAATTTTTAAATATTTTCTTAGAGAAAAAAACGAGTGAATCAGTTTTATCGTAAATGATCGTAAATAAATGGAAATGAAGAATACACTATCATTATAATAACTGTCAAATTTTTCACGTGATTTTAAACTTTAAACAGTAAGCAATAAATTTTAAAATGGATAACAAAATATTAACAAGTAATACCACATGGTCTGTAAGTTTTTAAAAACGCAACGGGATCTAGCCTATACAATCTAGTCTAAAATAATATTGATGAACTTCGTAGCAGAGTGTATCGCAGGCTCATTGTTTCAAGGTCTCTTTTCAACCATCTCTAAGGAGCTGAGGACCCAGGTTCGATTCCTGCCCTGGTCGGTAAATTAACTTTTCAATATTGTCGCATCTTAGATGTGTTGTGGTAACACACGGTTGTGACGACTTTAAGCTCTAATGAAAGTTCTAAAGAACAACGGTCAAAATGGACTACGAAAAAAAAGTTCTTGTACTAAGATTGAACTATCACCAAAATGTAGTATAAGTTGAATGTAATTATTATATACCAACAATTTATTTTTAAAAGCTGGGAAAAGAAAGATAATCCTCTCTAAAATATGTCTTTATTTTTTAGAACGCAGTTTAAATTATGTTATTTTTGAACGCATCTTATTAATAATGTCATTCCTAGAGAAGTCCCTCTCTTTTCAAAGAACAAGATCGATTTCATGTTCTGACTAATCGAATTTGATACAAATCTTATATTATTTACTAACCATATAAATCCGTGAAAATTATAAAACTTAGATTAGATTACTAATATAATTAGATGTTACTTAGAGGAAAATAGTTTATTTATAATGAAATTAAAAACAAATGATTATTCAAAAGAATCGATATTACAGTATTCAATCGATTGCGACCTCCCTTTTTTAGACAAGTATGTGTAGACGTGTTTCTACGCAGACCGTTTTGTAACTTAGGCGGTGATTTTGTAGTATCTTCTGTATTATTGGGAGCATACTAGGTTCCATGGGCAGTATAGAATTGAGGTCTGGAGAGAAATACCGGATTCTCTGGATTTATTAGAATTAGACTTAAATATAAATAAAGTCCTAATTATAAGGGGTAGAATTAAGTCGAGACATTGGGAGGAAACAATATTATGTGAACATTTAAAAAAATAATGACACATCATGACATCGTGACATGTAATTGTCTTATTGGTCAATGTACACTGGGATGCTGTGCTCATCATATAATGACCATATTGGTATCTTGGATGGGCCAGACACGAACAGAATGTAGCTGCTCCTGCAGCATTCTGTGATGAGGTATTCATTAGAGTTGTAATAAAGAAAAGAAAAATTAAAATGTTGTTTTATTATATCCTTTTGAAATTAGTATTTTCACTACTACTTTATATAAGTTATAGTGTAAGATAAAAAAGTAGAGTTATTGAGAGCAATCTTAAAAATTCTAGTATTTTTTTGATGTTCATTGGTTCACAATAAATGATTTTATTTCTTATAGTCAATAAAAATAATATATCAAATATGGAGCAAGTTTGAAGTATTAAGTGAAAGTATGCACTTCTAGGACTATGATTAGGCATTATCTGACGTGTGCTTTACATATTTCAACAATAATACCTCTAACTCAAAATGATACAGTTTAAATAATACGACATAACCTCAAAAACATATTACACAATTACTCGATACTCCCAGCTTTTAAAAATATAATTAATGTCTTTCTTTGTTCTAGTTGCATAGGCAAACAAAATAACATATGTTTCATCAAGTTACGTTTTATTCGATTTTACTATTCCAAGCATGTTAGGCAGATGGCCATTGTTCTTTGAAAATTTGTGGCCATTGTGGCATTAAACTAATGAAAAGAAAATTTAATGGACGTTTGTGCAACTGGCTGTTGATATTGTGGATTTAATTTTGTTGATATGGTTACTATATTGATTTATTTAATATATCGAATATTAATTTTAGTATTACCGCAGCACCTTAGATGGAATATCTAAAAATCTATGGGCAGAACCACAAAGTACATATGGCGTATAGTCCGTTTCATTTGAAGTGGCACAAGATATAAACAAATATGGCGATATGACAGTGTTAGTGATGGGATATATTATTATGAATTTGATTAATTGAACTATCTCATTCGTGTCATTCAGTGACTGACTTTTTCATAAAATTTGTATTAAATGAATATAACTATTGTCAGAGTAGTATAATATATAATAAATATATAAAAAATACGTATATTATCATAACAACTGAACAAGTTTACTTAATTAAATACTACATATTAATTTATAGCGAGAATTTGTCGGAAATAAATATTAAACGATCTACTGGTGAATAATAAGTTTATTGCATTTTACTTCGTCGTTTGATCTCAGTTTCACAGCGAACAGAAAATTTACCGTTTAAATTTGCCTTAAATGATGCGACACAAATTTTGAACAATAAAGTACTACGTTTGCGTAGCGTTTGAATCTTTTTGTTTGCTGATGAAATATCACTCCATTATGAAATATCAACATTAGTTGATTAAAAATATTACTCACATTTATTTACATTGAAACTGACATTCTAGTCGCTCTGTCCGTCTTTAAAATATAACAAAATGATGTTTTTCTGATCGCTGATCATTTTTATATTCACAAATTTACTATCATGAAAAACCATTCGCTTTCAGTGTGAAATTTGTTTTCACCAACTACTACTTTATTATACTTCAATTTTTTTAGCGGGATAGCCTATCTTAAAAACACATCTTACCCAAATTGGCAACCGTAGTCCAGATTGAAAGAACAAATGGACAACATGAGATTCGGCGCTTGCTGCCGTACGCCCCACACATTCGTTCGCCTTAGCGTCGTTTGGGACAATTCCCGTAGAAGAAAGGATGTAGTCTTAAATTATTTAAAGCATCCGATGATACGTTAGAAAGCATACTATGTTTTATGACTAAAAACAACTAAAAAAATAAGCAATAAATCATGACACGAAAATAGAACTACAGAAAATGTAAATAGATTAGAAAATATCATATTTCATATTGAAATACACTCACGTCCAGCTAAACATTTGCTTGTATATAATGCACAATTGGTACCTGTTTTGTCAAATAATTTAACGTTTTGTCCATTCCAGAGAAAAGAAAAATTCTTTTGTATGTTGCATGCGATGTTCATTAATCTATTTTAAACCAAATAAAAAGATTTAATGGGTAATTTAGACATTACCTTATTTTTTTAATTACTAATTTATTCTATTTTTTTGGCACTAATATTAGCCCTAAATTTTCCTGAGCCCCAAAAAAAGCCCAGTTAGTTTATTTCCGCCCTAAAGGGGCTAAAAGCCCTAAGTTGGCAAGCCTGAAGCACAGATGTAGTTAATGTAATATTTGAAGGCGAAAAATCGGTTATTATTGATTGAATATTTATTGAAAAATCGATTGTTAATCTATTATTTATAAAAATAAAATCAAACATTAAACTTGATATCCACTTTTAAAAATCGCTTATGAATTGATTATTTCTATAATTGATTATTTTTTACATTGTCCTACATACTTATTAGTATAGCACGCAGTAGCAGACAGAACGCATCTATAAATGTCAAATGTGGCATTATAAAAAACTTACGATTACGTTTACTCGGTTTAGTCTTTGAAATTACTGTTGAAAACTGATGTTAGTTTAGTGTTGAAAATTGGTTGAAAAATAAATTTTAATTACAAAGGTTTAAACGCACAACAAAAAACATAAAAAAATGGCACAAGATTTAATGGTAAGCGTGTAGACAAATAATGTTATTTTTAAAATTGAGAATTAAAGTGTAATAACAGAATTTATGCCGTGGTCGGCTTCAATTCTTTAGCTGAATCACCGAAATTGTATCAAAATTACTTTATGAAACAATTTTTTTTTCAGAGTCAATTTTTTATGTCTCTCAACCTTCCGCTTCAAGATAAGATCAATGAGTTGACGAGACTAATAGATCAATCTGGTCCCAATAAAGATTTACAGGCATTGTTTCCACAACTCATCAGCAATATATTTTCTACCTCATTCAACAATGCCTGGGGATTAAGGTCATTGACATGTGATGGTAACAAATATGAATTTGAAGCATTGCTAAATTTTTTTGAGCCACAGGGCCCAATATTTCGCTTGTGCTACAAACTGTTATCTGATCCGCAATTGAAGTACAGTCTTCCTTTAAGTTCACTACCGGTAATTATGTGCACTATATACTTTGAAACTTAATAGCAATGCCCATTATAAAGGCTAAAACTGTAGGATTTCTGAATTTTTACCAATACAATTTAGAAAACAATCATTTAGTAACATAATAATATATATTTAGTAACAATATAATAATTAATTTGCTTTAAATGATATATACTGTAGATTGACATATAATTTGATTTTGCCATCAGCAAAAGCATACAAATATTGATAAAATTATAATCATATATCTAATGTAAAATTATAAAATTACAAATATCATTGTTACACAAAACTATTATTAAATAAAATTATTATTACCATTTGCAAAATGTGAAATAAATTAAAATTATGAAGTCATTAAATATAGAAAAGTAGATAATGTTAGATATAAAAAACGAAAACTCATACATTTGAAGACATTACACTATTCGCAGCATTGCATCGAAACATGCATTCATTACATATATTTATGATTTAAATATTCTGTAACACAATAACAAGCATTATCACACAAACATATAAATAGTGCTTTTTTGAAGCTATTAAATGGAAGATTCTTAATGTTTAGTGGGGTTTCATTAAAAAACAATAACAATTATTTTGTAATCTCGCACTCCTTGGGGTGACCAATCTATCATAATATCTGGGTATTGCATATATACACTGTTTAAAATTTTACAAATTTAGTGACTTCAAAAATGTGTAAGAAAGATAAAAGATTTAAAAAGAGGTTTGCAGGGTTCATCAGGTAAGGCACCACATATTGCCCTAATACTTTTTTGAGCAAGAAGAGCTTTATTCATGTCTGTACGATTACCCCATATGATAAGTCTGTATCTAAGAACAGATCTTTGACAATTTATTAAGAGCAAATCTGTTATAAAATAAACAATTTTTTCTGCAAACTTTTTCTACCTGATTATTCCAATCCAGTCTGATTAATTTCTATACCTAAGAATTTCATTGAATCCACGTATGTGATCATCTGTTGTACATAACTTATATTAATTATTTTATTACCCGATTTTAAGTATTAGCTTATTTGTATAAACAAACAATTGTAATTAGTTATAGTTTTTCAATCATCAATTTCTTTGGAAATACTAGCTTATAACTTTGCTATCAGAAATTCGAAAAAAACAAAAAGTTGAGTACATGATCGTAACCATAAATTGGTTTATTTCATAATTAAAAATTTTCTTTCATGGTTCAGATACAGGACGAAATCACTCCCAATAGGCCATTTTAAACTAGAGATACTTAGAATAGGGGAACTATGGGACATTTGTTAATACTAAATTACCCATTGTAGTATACTAGATAAACAGGAAGAGATTTTTAAGTTTTGCTGCTCTTTAAAATCTTAAAATATTTTATTATTATACATTTTCATGTTACTACATGACATTTTATCACTATATATAGTTATTTTTTCAATATAAGTTGAAACAAAAAGTAATCTGTCAAACTTGCAGAACCCTTTATATTTACCCTTTATAGTGTACCTGGTGTTGTTTTAGTAAAGAACATTATTGAATTTAATTGTATTGTTGAAAGCCAAATTTTATAATTTTATATCAGTTTTGTTTAAAGCCATTGAAATCCAAGGGATATATTGTAGCAACCTTTAATACAATGGATATTATCTTTATGATCAATATAAAAAAAAAGTAATATCAATACTATAATCTGCCTCTAAATTTCAGCTCGACTTACAAATATCTCTGGAAAGAGGAAGATATTCTCAGTTCTATGCAGACATGCTGACAATGGATTCACAATCTTTAAATGTTGTAGCCTTAGCACTGAGTATCCTTTATAAACCAATAACTCTAGTTTTTTTTTTGAATATTATAATGTGTAGCAATATATAGTAGAATCATATTAATCCAGAACTTCAGTAGACCAACCTATGTCCTATTAAAGGTGAACATCCATTTTGCATGCATGCACATGCGGCTGGCAATGGATTTTCAATAGCTTTATAGCTTTGGAACTTCAATTGTACTGACTGCACTGACTTTACGGATTAACTTACTTGTTAAAGTTCAAAACTTTATAGTTCTTGATTTTTAAGTGTGTTATCTACTATTTGTCTTCTAAAAAATATCAGTAACATTAATTCATGCTTTGTTATACAATATTTCCTTTATTCCATATCAGATCCATTTGATTATTATATATTCAATTTTGCATTGTATTTGGTAAATAACACTGTAAATAAAAACTTATGGGAAAATTGGAACAGTGTGTACTTTGCACTGGCATGTGACTACCTAATGCACTTTTTACCTTCTGATCCGAATGTTCCTGTGTTGCCTCACATACCAAACTACACTGGAAAAGTACCTATGGCAGCACCACTGCAACCTAAAAACAGGTGAGTTTTATAATTATATTTTAACTGGTTTAAATATTTATCATATTTGATTAATTTTTCATTCATAATGCTATACTGGAAAATATCCTTAATAATACCTATAATGAATTCATTAAAATATTGCAGTATATCATTGTAAATGCAAAATTAAGCTATATATATTATATATATAATTCTTGCGATACTACTACTACGATTGACAAAACTGAAACTACTGTGCATAGAAAGCTAAAATTTGAAATGAAGATTCCTTAGGGAGTGTAGAGGAACAAAGAGAAAATTCCACCCGAAGGAGATAAATTAGGGGATGAAAGTTTGTTACTACAAGTGCTGGGAGTTTCAAATTTTGGATGCGGGTTCTTTTTAGGACGTAGGTGCTCACTAAGACGGGATTTTAAGAAATTCGTCCCCTAAGGGGATAAATGAAGGGATGAATGTTTTTTGGAATTTTCTTATTTCTAGACTTAAAACTAGACCACGCAGGCGAAGTTGTCAAATATTGTGAATGCAAAATTTATTAAATGTAATAATTAGAACAAAAAGTTTAAATATTTGCAAAACTATTGGGTGGATTACCTGAACATTGATAAAAATACGCTCTGAGTAGCGCAAAACTAACAAGATTCAGTGGCGTAACTACAGGGTGGCAAAATGCCACGGGCCCCCGGTAAGAGGAGACTTTGTTATTACACGATTAGTAAAAAAAACTCCTAAAATTTATTATTACACGATTAGTAAAAAAATAGAATGTCAGATGAATTTGTCACGGGCCTCAAACGGTATAGTGACGCCACTGCCCGGATTGCGAAAGGTCATGGGTTGGATCTCAGAGTACCTGGGGCTGGTGGATTTTTTTAGCATATTTCATTAAGAATATTGTTTAAATACATTTTTTATATAAATGTCACATTAGATTTTAATGATTTATTTTTTTAGGCCTCTGTATTCACCATCGTTACTATTAATGCCTGATCTCTCTGGAATAAGTAATCAACATACATCACAAACACAAACTCGAAATGAAATCTGGAGGTCAGAGACAGTTCTGCAAGTGTTCATTGATATATGGATGTGTGTAGATCAATTAAATACAAGAAATATGGAGGTAATAGTTTTTATGTTGGGAAAAAGAAATTTATTTTGGACACCTATGGACGCATATGACATTTCTTATCGTTAGGAGATTGAGTTCTAACTGATGCTTGAAGCTATTGAATTTTAATTATCTAAGATACATTTATTTTTATTTTTTAGAAGTAAATACAGTCAATATTTTATGATTACCAGATATTTTAATGTAAAATACCAGTATTTTAATGTAAAATACCAGTATTTTAATGTAAAATATCTGGTAAAAAAAGGTTTAGATTTACTCCATAGCTTGTTTTTTTGTTTCACCGCAGATAAAAGTTTACCATGCTGGATTTAGAAGACTTTTATTTTTATTGTATTTTTATTAGCAAACCTTTTTATTTGATATCCATATCTTAACTTGGCCGTCTGTAAGTTTGGAGGATAACTACATAAAACGATTAAAAAAAATAAAGTAAATAAATGAACTTGTGGCGTGGTAGCAACTGTAATATGATAGATATGAGTCGTATTTTTCTTCTTGTATATTCGTATCTGTTCCTTGTTGTAGTTCTGGTATCGCAGCAACCGGTAATAATATAAATAATATTAACTATTACGATAGAGATTAAAAAATAGTACGGAAGTGGCGTTTGGTGCGACAAATATTTATATACATACATCTCTATTCAATGTGTAACAAATCATAATTTTCTTTTAGGTATACCAAAGAAATTGTCCAATCATATGCTCAAGTCCAGAAAGAGTTAGAATAGTGAGAGTATTAGTGAAGCATTTACATTCATACTCGGCTAAACATTTGGCGGATCCTGCTTCTCGGTCATCAGCTTTGCGGAAATACGCCCGTCAGATTATGTGCACACGTGGTTATCATTATGTGAAACACTTAGTAATGACTTGGCCTTTGGATGCGTCATTCAGACTTGTAATGGAACTCTGGTTGAGTCTCATTCAGCCATGGCGGTACACAGATAACACAATAACTAATGACAGGTATTATAATTGTCACTGACTCTTTTGTTTGCTTGAAGTTCATAAGATGCTATGATATTTCTCTCTTTAGATTTCCAGCTTCGAACAATAATCAAGAGGAAGGCAACGCAAATGTTCTGGATGCGAGTTTTACACAATTCATTGCTGAAAATTTCCCTTCGTACACTTGCATATTCCAATTGGTTTTACCTAGATTTATGAGGCTAGACTTGACAGCATATAAGAATGCTGTGATGTTATTTCGATTGGGAAAGGTGAATATTATAGCTTCAATTCTCTAATTTCTTTTTTTTGTTTACTCTTAATCAACAAAAAAAAAAATCGTAAAAGTGCCTTTTTTTATTAACCAAAGATTTTGATAATTTAGCCTTAAATAATTACCTCATATAAAACATAGCTACGTCCATTTAACAGCTACTGTTAAAAGCGACACATGAGTTTTTTCTGTTTTCTAGGTGTTTTCACAACAACATTTAGTACCTATTCTATGGTACCTAGAACAAGCTATTATGGATAATATATCGGGTTTTCAACACAGTCCAGATACAAGTTTAAATAATTCAACAATTGAGCATAGGTAACGAAATACAAAAAATTTACAATTACAACATGACCATTAATATAACTCCAAAAACATAAATGTGAAAATTGATAGCCAAGTGCAATGTCGAAGCTTAATATGCTGTGATTTTCGGCTCCACCGACAAAAGTATTGACATGTAGTAGACAATATTGAAATTTATTTAATAATACATAAAACAAACAACTTAAAACCTTCTATGCTTCTAATTTTGACTTGGTTAGTTTTCACAAGCTTCACAATTCGCAAGTTTTTGTTTAATATATTATAAGATTTTACTTAGCTAAATATTTCATTTCTTTGAAATTGCAGTTACACATATAACGGTGTTACCCTACACAAATGGGTGGCAGTGGCCAAACAGGCTCTGTCTGAACTAAATTTGTCTTCTAATTACGAATACGACCCAGTATGGAGTGAAAGTAAAAAGCAATTTGCATTAGAATTTTTGAGGAAAATAATATCTTCAAGGGTCCAAGGAGAAAAAATCTTAGAAGAATTGAAGAAAAAGTTGAATAAACAACATCTAGGTAAATTTTTACGTTTCAGGACTGCCAATTAGTGCTGTACTGCACAGTCATGCCTAAGGGATGATTACCCCCACAACGACACAAACAACCTGTTTATAGTTAGAATACTATTATTATTATTAGAGTGTGATTAATTTGAAAGAAGTAACAATTCTAACTTCATTCAAATTCTCGTTTATTGGTTACGAATATTTGCTTAACTTATGACATATCCTTAAATAATTATTTCTATCGACTATAGATACGAGTGTTAGTGCCGTGTTTTTCTTCAGCAAACATTAAGATTAAAATTATTTATGTGTAGCAATTATAGTGCTGTTACAGTGAACTGGTTTAATCAGTATATATTTCAATTGCACGGCTGGTCTCCGATCAGCTGAGTAGCCGAACATGACGTTCTATAGCAAGGCTGAACGAAGGTCAGCTAACTAATTAACCCAATTCATTGGTATTTAGTAAATAGAGTTTTTTTATCCATATAATGAAACATAAGACTGTTTATAAACGTTGATTAAAACTAAGATACTGCTAAGCAATTCATTAACAACAATCTTTACTTATAAACGTTCATTAAAGTTAAAAAGCATTTTAGCAACGTTTTAGATAGCTGTCAAATTAAGTGGCATCGCATCCTTGTTTAAGTGCTTAATGAGATGTTAATTACCACAATGGCGGATCTTTGACCGTACCTTTGTTATTTTTGTCGATGGTTATGCCGTCTGAATTTGTTTCAAATTGTAATATGAATTATTTAAAAATGGATTTTTTTGAAACCGATAATAATGTACACGTACCAACATTCATATCACGAGTGTGTAATGATGCTTTGTTTAGCTTCTGTTAGCTATGAGAAGTTTTATATATGTATGAACAAGCTGTTTTCCCGAGGCTTTAACACAACTATATTCTAAAATTTCCCTTTTTTTTTCAATAAAAAAGGTGCTCCTTTTTCATCTTCCATTATGAACTTTCAAATTAAACGACTCCAATATTAGGGATCAATAAAAGAAATTCTATTTAGTCAGTTAGTTTGTATTTTATTGACATAGATAATAGGCATTAAAATTGAGGCGTGTGGGCATGCTACGTCACATCTGTGTAGAACATATCGCCGTTATTTATTGGTCACACAAAAAAGTATTTAATATTTTTCAACAACATCTGACGAACAAACAAACAAAAATAAGTCATCATCCATAATACCTACCGAAAAAGATTACCTATGTACCGTTGTTGAAACGGTTTTGACGATACAGACGTTTCTTTTTTCAATTCCATATTTCATGACGCAGCCGTTTGCCCTTTGGTAGGATTTAAAAAAAAATATTGTGTTATTTACCGTTGATTAGTTAACAAACTCGTTATAAACGCTAGATATATATATATATATATATATATAATAACGCTAGATATATATATATATATATAATAACGCTAGATATATATAAAGTAAGATATATATAATGACTACTTAAGAAGTTAAGTAGTGCTTAGATAATTAGATGCTAAGACATTGATTCGTTGATTTTTATAAGTAAGGCGGAATATTTTTTGATTATATATTTAATTTATAGGTTTCTGGGCAAGTGTAAAGGATTGGTTTATGATGGGCAATTATGAGGAAGACATGCAATTGTTTGAAGAGGCAAAAAAAGTGCCTAATTATTTAAATGCTTCTATTCAATACTTCTCCGATATTTATGGTGTAAGTATACTTTTTTTCAGGTATTTTAATGTTGCAGAATGTATAGTCAACAACATGTCAGGCCTAGCGTAGTGGGCGGTGTGGGAAGGGGGCGGCTCGCTTCGGGCGTCTCTTTTAGGGGGCGGTAAATTTTTACAGTAAACAATATATTTTTTTTTATATTTGAACCAATTTATATTTTTAACGCAACTATAAATTCGGACCGAATGAAAAGAGCACGGAATTTTTTACTTATTCTGTGACGAATTTGGAGAATACTCCTTCCTTAAATGATATTTTGTAGCAAATGGCAACACTATCTATACTGACTTACGGGGATTCCCCGTGTTTTATTTTGTGCTTGGATTGTTTATTATTTATAATCAGCAAGAAAGTCATCTATTACATATATATTAAGTTCTATATTGTTTATTACGTCCCTTTAAGAAAGTACGATGCTTTGACAAATCAAAGAAAGTTTTATTCATGAATCTTCATTTGTTTACTTGATATTTTTTTTCTTGGTTTCAAATCATTTTTGTTTTTTAAAATACTAGCCTGCTTTTTAGGATACAAGTCCTATGTTGCGAAGGAAAAAGTACACCCAGACTAAGAACATTTTTTGTAAATCACACGAAAAATTGGCTTTTGTGGGGATCGAACCGTGCATGGCGACAACTAAACCTCTCGGCCAACCGTGCAGTCAAAATCTAACCTGTATAATGCAAAATAATTATGACAATTCTTGCCGTAAAATTCTTTTAAATTAATATATACTGTAATTATATTTTACCCAAACAAATTTGAAATTCATTAAAGCTTAAAGGCGTCATTAAACCTTTGTGCCACTGACCGTAATTTGGTGAGAAAAATATATAGGAAAAGCGGGAAGCGTTCGAAGTGTATAATAATCTTAATGATGTTTAGTTTAACAGATTAGAAGGGCTTCTAATTTATTTATATACTTGGTGTATGTGAATATAATGACAGATTAGGCACGATCATTCATTTTTATTACTGAAAATCCCTTACTTTTACCACACATATGAAGTCTCGTCCTCTAAGTTGGTGTTTACTCGGCCATTTTAAACGAATCTAAACAGCTTTGGATATGTAATTCATTCGGTAGTTTTTAAGATTCCGGTATTCGTATTAACGAACGGGGGGAGAATTGCGAGGCTCCGAAAATACTAGATCGATTTTAAAAATTCTTTCACCTATAGGAAACATCATCATCGTGCCATCGAACAGCTAGTTTTATAATTCAATTATTATTCTGAATTGAAGGAAAGAATTCATACGTCCATAGTAATTGAAAATAATATTAATTAAAAATATTAAATGGTGTTTATATTTACAGTTAAATGAGTACATCATGCCGAATTCGGAAACAATTGTAGAAGATAGTCTGGAACATTCTTCATTTGCTAATTCAACTAATTTCCCTTATTCGGTCACTAATAAGGTAATGAATAAAATTCTTACTTAAACAATTTTAACGAATCACTGTTATATTTACATCCTCTAAGAACCATTATTTAAGTTGCAAATATTTATTGCAGCTCCGTAGTAAGTCCACGACTATTCACTACATGGGCGATCCGGATCTGATGCCAATTTCATCATATGAAAGCACTATCTTAGTGCGAATGTTATACCAAATAGCAACAAGAATAAACGAAATGGTTTGTAAATCTATGCATATATGAATGTGTTATCTCGCATCAGTGATTGTACTACGTAGATTGAATTGAAATCATTGGTCTGAATGTATACATTAATATGGATATTTCTTCGAGATCGATGATTATGATTTTTTGGCAAGCTCATAATCGCCATCAGTTTTATTAATGTGCCCACTGCTGCAATGCACTAAAACCGTGGGATAAAAAACTTAAAACGGATTTCGATAGCTTTCAATTTTAAGTTAAGTAGCATTAATATCATTACTAATATTCAGTTAAACCCGGAAAAAAATGTGGAAAATGTCTTATCCATATTATTTTTGCTATTTAAAATACAAGTGACAGAAGTTAATCTACCTACTCCAATCATTGCTCATATGTTTGAATATTTTCTGACCATTCAGAATTTCCTTTCATTATCAAGCATAACGAATGCAATAAATTCCACAATATTTAAAAACATAATATTATTTGAAATATAATGAGGAAGTATTGAAAAAAAAAACGAAAGCACTATAAAAGGACCTCCACTAGATGGCGACTCTAGCAAAAAATATTTTTTTGCAGGAAACGAATGGACCAACGACAGTCTTTTTCGTTCCTTTTAACTTACATATTAAAAACTGAAATTTGAAAAGTTCGAAACTTAGATATCAATACAAATACGAAAAAGTACAAATAGAATAGGAGTTGTTAATGAGTTTTGAAAATTAATTTACTTTTATACTTACATGAAAGAAAACCGGAAAGGTTGACATGGAAAAATCAAGAAAGTACCGTAGCGACGTCTAGTTTGATTTCGGGAACTATTTTTTTTTAAATGCTTCCTCATTGATGAAGAAATCATATTTTGAAAAAGTGCAAAAGGGATTGGACCATTGATAAAATGCAAAACCTTTTCCACTAATTTAGATAAAATTTTGCGTGCCTAACTAAAGCAAAAAGGACATATGAGAACTACATTTCTTTATGTTATTTTTTCTTTATTACAGTATCAAGATGAGTTCGAGCAGCTATGGAATTCTAATAGTTTCTTTGGTTACGTTGCTCGTGAGATATTACAAAAACCTTGTACTATTCATAATTATGTTAAAGATTCTACGAACCATCAGCATATTGTTAGTCAAAATCTTCCTGCCAGGATTTCTTTGCGCCGCTTCGGATCACACGCCTTCATCGTGTACATAAGTATCGGTTACGTAATACTTAGATTGTTCTCGTACAGCGGTCTAACGTATACCTTTTTTATATTTTTAATATGGTTGTTATTTATAATTAGCAAAGCGTCCTTAAGGATGTTGAGAATATTGCCAGCAATTAACTAATTATGTAAATTATTTTTTGATTGATAAATATATTTTTAATGAAATAAATGAAGTTTTTATTGTAGTTATCCTTTTTTTAATTAAAATGCTTAAACTTAACACATGATTTATATTTCACGCTGATTGGTCTTTAAAACCAATTTCAAAATAAAGAGTAAGGCACATTACAATTTAAGCTCGACCTTGCCGCGATTAAGACGTGGTTACAAGCAATCTATCCTTGTTTTAGTACTGATACTCCAAGTAAGAGGGCACAACTGCATTGCACGTGATAAAAGCTAAAGTTTCACAAAAGTATACCTATTCAGGTTTAATGACAACTTTAAAGTTATAATGAATTTATTCACTTTTAAAATTTGTATTACTACCAATATGGAATACCAATATTCGTGTATATTCTTAGTTAAAATCTTTCTTATGGCTTCTCTCGAATTTAAATCTTCAAATCAAACGTTTTCCATACCTTCATTTTTCGATGTTATGTGACGAAAATGATCACGTAAAGGGATGTTGTTGTTACAAAAAGTTGACATCGATGCAAAAACATAAATTTACATATTATGTAGCAAAATAAACAACATATTACAATTTAAATGATGTTGTAGGCTTTTATTTTTATTTAATCAGTTTGGTAAACTATATGATTTATTAAAAGAGTCTATTATACTTTAAATAAATCGATTAGTTATTAATTGAATAATAATCAATCACTCAAACTCCTTATTGATTTAAAATGTCATATCTCTAGTCGTGTACTTTGACGTCACGACGAGCGCGCCAAAAATTCCGGTGTTTAAACTGCTCGTAGCTATAACTTATTTTCATGAATTATTAATATTACAAAATTCTATTTTTTTGGTGTCGGATATTTTTTTTGCAGTTATATATCGATGTAAATTATTATATAAAAACATTTTCCAAAAGTATGCATATAGGGAATATGCACACTGCCAAAGCAAACATTGGCAAAGTAAATAAAACCAAGTAAATGCAACGATATTTTACTTATTCCTTTTTAATAGTTTGCAACTTTACAAACATAAAAAATAGCATCAACAATATTTCTTGAGAGTGAGCTTAGGCACGATATTCATAGAAGCTAATTCTTGGAAGAGTAGCTTGCACGCATACGGCATTTCTACGGTGGAGACGGCAGCAGAGGAGCGGCAAGCATGACACCACGCGCGACTAGCCAGTCGACCGCACGCGCCACAAATATCAGCACTGAACGCGTCCGATGCTAACATCAGACGCTCCATCAATAACATGCTGCAACAATCAAACAAGCGACTTATGAAAAAGCAGAAACAGACTTCAAAACCATATTATTAAAAATAGGGATGATGACTAAGTTTTGTTTGTCTGTCAGGTAGATTATTGAAGAATATTAAACATGTATTTTTTTTTTGCGACGACGATAGGGATGACGACTGGGTAAAAAAAAATGCAATTCTATTTAGTTCGACAAAAGTTCTATCTACTTTAGATCTAAATAATATTGTGACTAATAGTTATTTTTTATGATGTGTCTTTTGCCCGTTCTTGTTAACTAAAAGTCTTGAATTGATTAAACAATGTTGGACGATTCAAGTACTTTTATTTAACATTAATTTTTTATTTTACATAAATCAATATTTTATTGAACATACAAATAAAGCGTAAGTGCGGATCCAGACCTTAAAAACTCAGCCCCCTAATTGTCTAATTTTAAATCTATTGCAATCGCTTTCAGTTTGAAAGGTGTTGCACAACCATTGCTGCATAATACAAATACTTTTTTTTTCAACTGTCTTTAGAAACAAGCAATGGTTATACAACATCTTTCAAACCGAAAGATTTTAAAGTAAGACAATTAGTCCCATGGTCAAACTAAAATATACGACGTATATAGTCCTCCTCCTTAACCATCCATAAGGAAGGCCTGACCCCTGCAGTGGGGACGTAAAAGGGCTGGTAGTGGTATATAATCTATGATCAAGTTCTTCGCTGCGTTCCGGATCACGCAAGGTTATTTTTTTTAGGTTATTGTATTTAATATCATCAGTTTTCCAAATACATCGTAAAAATGTAACATATAATACATCCATGCTTGATAACTATTGATAAGACTTATAAGCCCAGTAATACTTCAAAAGTAGTTATTTAAAATTATAAATATATTTAAATGCAGCAGGCGAAGTCGCGAGAAAACAGCTAGTATTTTATAAATCAATAGAATATTAAAAACTGTTTTCTTTCATGATTATTACCTTGCCCCGTAGCCAATTAGGCAATCGCGTTCCATCTCACCGAGACGAAGTCCACCGTCGCGAGATCTTCCTTCTGTCGGCTGACGGGTCAACACGGCACGTGGACCGCGAGCACGCGCGTGCATTTTGTCTTGGACCATGTGCTTCAGCTTTTGGTAGTACACCTAGTGTTAAAGTAACAACACCTTGAAAATATGGACCCCTTAGCTGAATAGGCAGGGAGGACAGTGTCACGAGAGACAGTACTTTCATTACTATTTTATACATGCTCATCGGTGTATATGGTTTCTGACATCATCTAACTAACGCGATTGATTTGGTCGTGAAAGGCGTCGTTGCCTTCCTCGGCTTCTAAATGCTTCTACTATCGCGTTGTATATCGGTTTTGCCATTCTTTCATCCCAGTATGATCATTTTAATAGGCCATATTTGACATTTATCAGTCTCAACTTCATACTAACCTTATACATGCGTCTACATATAATAATTATTTTTTATCGTCATTTGCGATTTTCTTCTGTTTTCTTGTTACAATATCGAAATTAAATAATAGTCAATATGGCGAATTATTATATTGATAATAATAACTTGTATACGCAATAACTACATTCAATTCACATTTGTTTGAAAACCATGTCGATTCATTATAATAATAAGAGTATAAATTAAAAGCATATACATATTTGAATGAAGACAATTTTTCAGCTTGGTAAAGCAAATTTTAATCAACACTAGGTAACTAAAAGTTGCAAGATATTACTAGACAACAACAATTCACGGTTATTTTTACAAAGGATGATACTTACCGGTCCTGAATAAATATAAGCTTCCAGTGGCTCGCCTGTTAAACCTGAGTAAAATATGTCTTTTCCATGGTAATTGTATCCATGTTTTTCTAACTCATTACAGACATCTTTCACTTTAGATCCTCCAAATGCAGTACCTATGAAATAATTCGACATCGGAATGAAGTATGTAAATAAAGAGTTCATCAAAAATATGTATAGTATAGTAACATTTAAAATTACCATAATGAAATTTCCCTTCCATAAGACCTGCCTTGCCTGCGAGCAACTCTATTGTTTTGCCCACTGTCATTCTAGATGGGAATCCATGAGGGTTCATAATCATATCAGGGCAAATGCCCCCGTCATTGAACGGCATATCTTCTTGCTGCACTATCAATCCAGTTACACCTTTCTGTCCATGCCGAGAACTGAATTTGTCACCAATTTCTGGAATTCTAGTCTGCCTCAACAAAATTTTAATAAGGAAAGCATCTTCTGCATTTGATGAAACCATAACCTTTTCAATATACGATTCAACTGGACCTTTGTATGTGATGGGAACGTCTTTGTAATCTACCTGCTGTGGTTGCCCTTGAGCTACAGGATTGAGAGTAGCAGGCGGCATTTGTTTATTTATTAAGACTTGTCTGTTTTCAACCATTTCTCCTGGTGCGGCTATTCCATCAGAATCTAGGATTTCATGGGCTCTTATAACTTTTCCTGTATTGGCATCTCTCGAAGGACCTAATATACGGTCTGAGGTTTGATTGCTGTACCTTTTCATGGTAGTTTTGGAACTTTTATATACAAGGCACCTTCCGTAGCCACGGTCTATGGAAGCCCTGTTCAAAATCAACGCGTCTTCTATATCGTAACCACTGTAACTCATGACGGCGACAGTTGCATTCTGTCCGGCGGGTAGTTTATCAAAATTCGTCAACTCTATAGTTCTGGTTTTAACCATCGGACATTGAGGATACACTAAATTATACATCAGTGTATCTATCCTATTTTTCTGATTATAACCAATTGTTCCTGAAAACAGGTTATAAAATAAATTATTGTCTATTCTTGTCAGATGAAATCTGGGTGAATGAATGGGTGAATGAGATGAAACCTAAAAATGGTGGCCACTAATTTCAAGCGCGATTTTGGAACAGTTCGTACCGGTTCCCAAATTAGCGTTTTCTGATTACGCTTAAGATTCCTAGAATCGTGTAGGTAATAGAGGTTGTGACAGGCAAATACTAAAGCTACATACGGTTCATCTGATACATTCTCATAGGACAGCGATTCTCAACATGCGGCCTGCTGACCACTGGGAATCCGCGAGAACATGTATGGTGTAAGCAGAATGAGTGGACGGCACGACACTTAGCAAATCAAATGTGCGGACTCTCATAAGCATGCTTTGGATCTCCAGAGGACCAGATTGGGAAATTTTTGGTGTAATGTTAAAGTTTAGACGAAATCCTATAAGATCATAAAAGCTAACGAACGACTGCGATATAAAAAAATCAATATAATTCAACTTACCCATTGCTTGTTTACCCATAGCACATTGGTATGTATTCCTTGGACTTTGATTATGATGCGGGTAAGGGACAAGGCCAGCACAGACTCCCAAAATTGTAAATGGCTCTATTTCAAGATGTGTTGACACATATGGATCTATGTCTGCTTCCACTGTAGCAATATGACTGTCGTTCTCTTCATTTACATCTAGATATTCAATTAGGCCATCTTTAAGAAAGTCTTGGAATTTTCTAATGCCTCTATCCAGTTCAGTTAAGTGCGCTTGTTGAACCAGTGGCTGACCTTTTTCAACAATAATATATGGTCGACATAACCGACCTCCATCGCTACAAATGTATACAGTACGCTGATTGTGATTTGGATAAATGGACACAAATGCTGATATAAGACCACGTCTCCTAAACATTCTGAATATCCTTATAAGTTTTTTAAATTGTCTTGTCACACCTAATATGTTACCTGAAACAAAATTACCTTTTACTCTCGTCCTATCGCGAAACTAATCATCTTAATGAGGGGTAAACATTTATTTTCGTTACCATTGAGAAAGACCATATATACAGCTGGATGATTGATCTCTTCACCACCTAATATTTTGACGTCTTCTACACCCGAATTCCAAGCTAGCTTTGCAATCGGCTCCTCAGAACATTCAGTTGTAATATGAGTCATTAGAGCTAAATTTTTAACTAATCCGCAGCTCTCTCCTTCTGGGGTATCGGAAGGGCATAGCATACCCCACTGAGAAGGCTGTAGAGAACGTGGCCCCGATACCTTCCTAGTTTTTTCAAATTGAGAATTAACTCTCGTCATCATTCCTAAGGCCGATATGTAACTTAAGCGACTGAGAACTTGGGTGACGCCATGCCTTTCCATTTTAAATCGTTTTATAGTCCAATTACCCTGTAAATACAAAATACAAAATTAGCATTGTTGTACAGACATACAATTACAATTTTTTTACAGAAAGATAACTTACAGTGGAAATCGCTGCAAATAGTCCATTAGCTATCAGATCTGGGCGCATGTGTTTTACCACATCAAATGGTGCTGCTTTAACTTTTGGTATTATTTTGTCTGCAGTTGTTTTTAATTCCCAATTAAATCTTTTAAATAAATCTTCAAACATGAGGGCTAGTAATGAACCAGCTAACTCTAGCCTTTTGTTGCCATAGTAGTCGGGATCATCAATAGCAGCTTTATTACTTTCTGCATCAATGACCCTTCTTACCATGATTGCCAAATAAATAGCTTTTACATAGAAATTAAAGTTTTCTACCGCCACATGAGCTAATATAGTGGTAGCCAAAAGGTCTCTGGCTTCATCAACAGGTGTGCGAGAATTTCCAGCTTGATATCTAACAAATAACAATAAAGATTTTTTGAAAACATAAATAAATAAAGTTAATGGAATATTTATTTGTTTTATAAAGCTCACATATAATGTTAAATAAATAATTATTTTTCCTACAGGGTGTGTAAGGTACTGATTACTTTTAAAAAACTAGTTGTAGTATAATTACACACATCTTTTATTTCAAATGTCTGTACAGTTTGAAATTGGACTCAATGAAACTTGGTGCTAGTCAAAATATTGGAACTAGATGCTCTAGGTTAAAGGCTTGAAATAAATAAATAAACACTGGAATGACGTCTATAAAAAAATATAAAACTAATGTGCATCGATTAAAGAGTGTAATTTGCCATTAACAAAAGAAACTCCTTAAGTACTGGTTGTGTGAAATTGTATATTTTGAATACAGTGGACCCATGATAAAAAAAAGTATATTTTTAGAGTACTGCATTATGTTTGATTATTCCATGCCGAAATACTAGCGCCCTAGGTAGATGCCTAGTCTGTCTATATAGATGGGACGGTTCTGAATGTACAAGACGGGAGTACATAAAACCTTACACTACATTTATAGGGTAAGAATGCGAAATCACAGTCATTCTTTTTTTCATTGGTATGCACAAAGTCTGTATTAGTCACAGTAAGGCAACAAACATTTCCAAATTGTGTTTCAACTAATACATTAATCTGAATTTATAGTCCAAATTTTATAATTGGAATGTATAATGCAATAGCAAAATAAAATACCTTTTGACTTTTAATTTACTTCCCATATAAGTCAAGGCTTGGTTTTGTGTGAATATTTTCATATTATGACAATCCATAAGGCATGGACTCATTTTCTTCATTGTTGCATCATCCGTCCCTATTAACTGCATTATTTCTTGGTCACTGCAAATACCCATAGCTTTAAATGCAACAGCTATTGGAATATCCTGTTTGTAAAAAAAAATATTTCCTTTTAATCTTCTTCATCTACGTAATTCATGGTTTAGATCAGCTTTTCTCAAAGTAGGTGTTAACGCCCCCATGTCGGCGCTGCAGGCTTAAATGGGGGCGATAAGAGAACCGAAAAAAATGGGGGCATTGTGTAGAGGAATTAATTTGAAACTTGTGAACAACCTATTGCGCTCAGGTCTCAAGTTAACTTTTGTGGATTATAGTAAAAGTCTCCTCTAATATAGCTTACAATAAATAATTAAATAAAAAAGTAGTAGCTTTAAGTAGTCGTAAATTAAAGGTATTTATTATCAAAGTGGGCAATACACTAAATAAGTTTGGGAGCCCCTGGTTTAGATTAACACCGAAGGCTTGTTAGTTTATAAGTTAATATGAAAGTTCATAATTTTAAAAGATTATTAATAATAAGCATCAATTTCAGGTTTTAAGTAATAAAAAATTTGTCTACCTGCACTAATTGTGCAAATTAAACCAATAGTGGATTCAGCTAAGTGCATCTAAAGGCAAATATTTAAATAAACTATAATAAATACAAGAAAATATTTACATCAGACAAAGCATTGTGCCGCAAAACATATTTTCCATTCTTGACAATCACATTTGTTCTAGTTTTTTTCTCATGTGTGGAACTTGTTACTTGACATTGAATTGCACCTTTGAATTCATCCACTATCATTCTATTTCTCGACTGCTGTTCTTGAATTAATATTACTTTCTCTTGACCTGTAAAAAGGTCTATTTTATACTAATATCCAAATTTTTTTAACAAAAAATATGTGAATAATACCTTCTATCTACAATAATTATTTTCATAGAATTTTAGTTCAACAAAAATTTATTATAAACTCAAATATCTTTATGTTTATAATATTTTACCTCTTATGATAAAATAACCACCAGGATCATGCGGGCATTCATTTAATTGTGCCAACTCAAAGTCTGATTTATTAGTTAACACACAATTCGAGGACCTCAGCATTAGGGGCATTCTGAAAAAGAAAACAAAAAGAGGCACCATTTAAGTAATTTAAGGATTATTTGACATCATCAAATTAAATAATTTCTATTATTTTATATAATATATTTTTGTAGATTGCAATGAATAAAACTATTTTCTTTTTAATGTAACAGGTGATTGAGTTGTCTCAAATATTTGATGAACTAATGTGTGTAATACAAAAATATTACTTAAGCAATGAAAAATTTTGAAAGTGGTATCATAGGTATGAATCTTTTAAAAGTACACTAAGGTGATGCTGAATTTTGGCACCCAAAGCATTGAAATATAGAAGTTGATGTTACTATTTAGTTGAAATTGGCTGTGTTGAGGGCTACAAATGCTCATGGACCCCCAGGGGACTGCAGATCGAAGGTTGGGAAATGCTAGTAAACAAAAAATCTATAAAAATTTGATAAATACCTTCCAATTAGCTGTTTATTTTTAATGACCCTCTGATTCCCCCGAATGTATTCAATATCAACAGTAATGGGAGCAGAGTATGTCATGTCTCTGAGCCGACATTCATGTGGCGTTGTTGGTTTAGTTACATTATAACCTTCTTCAAGATCTGGAGTACCAACATAAGCATTTAAGTATTTTATATAAAATAAAGGATCAGCATCACAAAAAACTTTTTCATTTGCTTGAACAATCTTCTTTATTTCCACATTGATGAAATAATTAAATGAATCTATGTGTTGTTTAACTAATCCTTTTACTTGCAAAAAAGAAGGTACCAGTCTCCATTTATCCTGTAAATTAAAATTTATAGGCAAATTAAACAGTATAAAATAAAATGCCATATTTAAGCTTTTGTAGACTTCATAAAACATTTCGAGTTTAACTCTGATGTTTATCTTATTGAAGATATAATGCAAAGCTCAGGTGATCAAGATGGAATTTGAATTCATGATCTTTCTCAATTTAGGCAACTATCCTAACCAATTTGTTATAGAATCCAATCTCATCTCAAGCACTATCAAATATTTTCAAATACTACTATAGCATTATGAATCGAAAGTATATTAAATTTAATAATTACCTCTAATGTTTTTACAGGTTCACGAAGTCTTTTAGAACTATCCCATTCAGAGTTTTTATTAATTTCTCCCATTTTCATTCAGAACTCCCAAAAATAAAGTCATTAGAAGTTAAATTCTCTCCGAAGAAGTTTGATACAGTTGGTTCCCAAATATTACATGCTTTTGCTTCCTCTTTTATTTGTGTCAAAGTATTTGGTTTACCACAATTCTGCTAATATTACACAAGTCGGATTTCGCTACAATGATGCTTAAAAACTTGCACAGTTGTTCTCCGCTTCGCTCCAAGTCCGTGGCAAAGTTATATTAAACACTAGTGTTAGTTCGTGGTCTTTTCAAAAAGCAATCTCTATCTCTAGTCGGATTTCGCTACAATGATGCTTAAAAACTTGTACAGTTGTTCTCCACTTCGCTCCAAGTCCGTGGCAAAGTTATATTAAACACTAAAGTGTTAGTTCGTGGTCTTTTCAAAAAGCAATCTCTATCTCTAACGAGTTATTACATTACTCTTTGAAAACCGCACAAGGTTGCCGTTCCGCTCGTACATTTCGACATTTCGACAGCTGTCAGTGTCACTGTCATCGTTATTACAGGCTAAGAACCATAAGAACTTCATTGTAGGGGGATTCATCGCCATCTTTCATTCATTTCATATTCATTTTACATATTCAGTTGACATTGGCAGAATTGTGCGAAATGCGCAGATAAGCCATTAATAAAAAAAGAAGAAGAAGAAGAACTTCATTGTATCGATTTACTTCATTTGATATAATATTGGGATCTATCCAAAAATCGAAGCCAGTATCCAATAAAAGAAAATTAATTTGAAAAAACTGTTTACTTTTTCTACCGATTAATAATTTATTGAATTAGAATGTTTGTATATGTAAGGGGTAACGTATTAAAAAACTGAAATTTGCAAAGTTCGAAACTTAGATATGAATACCAATATGAAAAAGATATAAATAGAGTATGAGTTGTTATTGAGTTTTGAAAACAAATTTATTGTAAAACTTATATGAAAGAAAAGGGTTCTCAAAAGGAACGGAAATGACTATCTTTGGTTCATTCGTTTCCTGCAACAAGTTTAGCTAGAATGAATGGGTTAATGGTTAGAATGGGTATTTGACACTATCGAAAATAAGCTGCATTTTGTTGTCATCCTGATAGATAATAATCAATTAAAGCTTATTGACGTGGATACGTCTATGTTTTCGTTCTACGGGGGGGTCATTCTGTGAGCAGGAGTATATGCACTAACGCCATCTATTGGCGTATAAGTGAACTATGCTTGCTCTGCAGGGGGAGGGCCATTCTGTCAGCAGGAGTATATGCACTAACGCCATCTGTTGGCGCTAGTGAATACTTTTTTCATTCAACAAATGAACGCAACGAATATTTATATATTTAGTGTTTAGTGTCTTCAATTTGTTTATTTATTTTTATTTACTTAATTCTTTATATAAGTTTATTTTTACAAAGAAACAAATATGGGTAGAATAAATAAATGTAGGGTGCTTTGTTAAAAGCAAAAACGCACTGCAAAAGTAAATGGTATCGAAAATCATAAAAATCTTTTTCAACCGTATTTTATCGAATCCCATCTTAGTGTATCTGGAACTGGTGAATTTTTTAAATATCAACAATAATGTTGATTTTTTTTTTTATCAATTACTCATATATCCATTCATACATAGACGTATCCACGCATAAAATATGGCTGTATCAATGATACAGCCAACCAGGGTTTTTCTTAACATTCGCAGAAAAAACGTCTTTAGATTTAATAAAATAACGTAAAGAAAATGCAATATTTTTAGGAATTTATTCAACGACGAAAACGTCCTATAATTGGTCGTCGTTACAACCAATCACGATTCTGTTTACTGGCCTGTGACGTCATCAGCTGTCATGTCAAAGTAGTGAACGAAAGCTACATAAAATATCGATGCCGGTAGGTATCGAGTACTTTATAGTAATTTACTGATAACAGAATACTTTGCCGCTTCTGCTGATAAGAACTGCCAAAAAGAAATACAGAAAGAAAGAATCATTTACTAAGCTTTTTAAAAAATCCAAGAAATAGGGAAAACGCCTTGAAAATAATTCAAAATTACAAAGTGCATTTTGATGATATATACTGTTCTCTAAGTTAAAGACTAATAAAAAATATCATCCGCATCTGATGTCTCATTATCAAGTGCCATGCATTTAGTGGGCAGACATACTACATGCATGTATAAAAAATAGTACATTATTTTTCGTACTAATGTCTCATCCATCTGTAGGTCGACTGGCTGTAAAATGCGAGCCCTGTCAACAAATATAAATGATTTGTAAAATGTTTATGATATAGAAAAAAAAACAAAAAGAAAACCTTCAAATGTATCGATATGAAATAAAAAAGTTTCAATAGTTTTAGCGAATCTTTACCTAATTTTATCACCCATCTCTACTCTATATAGCTACTAATTTATTGTGATTGTGAATTTATTTTCTTCTAGACTCGAAGTTTGTTTCTTATTTATAGAAGTATTAGTAAATTGTGGCACTACGCACCACTTAAGACAGTTGTGACCATAAAGCTAAAGAAATAACTGGAGACCAAACTCCTCCATACCTACTTGAAGCATAAAAATTTGACCTTGAATGTTTTCTTTTTCATTCCTTAGGTCCCCCTCCTCTCTTTCTAATAGGGTGTCCACACAACTACAAAATAAAGGAGACAAGTTTCAAGAGTAAACCATTAAGGCAAAAAAGTATCAAATTTTCCTAGGTAGATGTAAAGTTTACACATGAAATTAATAGATCTAATCTAGTTTCTCCGTCAAATATGAAATTGACTTTATTAAAGTTCCTTACAAAAAGCCTTTTTTTCCGAATCTACTGGACCAAATCTTGTAAAATTTGTCATCCTTTGACCTAAACACAGTTTGATTAAAACTTAGCAGTGTGGAATTTGAGTTGGCAAAGAACTCTTCTTAATAATCACCAGCCTATTAATGTACCCACAATGGGGCCATTCCGGATTAGAGGGTATTTACAACTGCAGATACAATCGGGACAAACTGCTTAACGTGCCTTCTAAAGCACGGAGTAGATCTAATATGCAAAGTGAACTACAAGACTGCAGACTACGATTGTCAGCTTACCTTCCTTCCAACCGAATCGAAATGGAATAAGCACCCAGTATATATTTCACCCTTAAGTCAATTTACTTATTTACATATCACATTCTTCTATTACATTCTCAGATGTAATTGTCAGTCTCAGATAAAAATAAAACAACATTATGTTATTTTTAAATTTAATTTATATGGGACTAAAAAGTACAGTTTTGATGACAATAAATACTATTTGATTGTTACCATAGCAAGTCTATCAGACAACCTACGACGACATGTTGAAGGTGTAGAAGGCATGGTAAATGCATCACTTTTTATATCAGATTGTCCCGACTGGAAAAAAACGAATTATGGTTATTTTGTCTACGCCCTGCCATTAGGGAATTAAGGTATTTCGAGACCATTTTTTCATGACATAGTACATTAAGTAAAATAAAAATATTTTTTTCTTCCAAACATGAACTTGTGGCTCAACGACCTTTTTCGCTTGTGTGTCATCTTAAATAAGCGTACTTAAAAAGGAAGTCGAGCCACAAGTTCACGTTCTCACTCGGAAGTTTGTATTCAATTTTTACTACCTAAGAATTAGTACCTAATTAGTAGAATATAGACTTTTACTTACCACATCAGAGTAAAAAGGAATTCTTGTAAGCTTTAACTGATTCTCTATTATGTATATAATCAGTAGCCACAAAATGATTACTGCATATTTTTGGAGTTTTATAAAACTTATTTTTTTATTTGACACTCGATAGCCATTGACTTCTCTTTATTAGATCCTTGGGAAAACTAAAAGTGAAATAAAAAATATTAAGTTCAGTTTTATTGTTTATCCTTTATCTTCTTTTCATGGTCACCATATTAGCGTTTTTTATTTTTATTTCACAATGTGAACTATGCTTTTATTAGAAAATTTCTGAAATATGCTACTGTAAACAATTATATCATATATTACTTTATATACCATATTATTGTAAATTATCAAAAATTGAAGGATTCTATGTTAAAAATATTATTTTTATAAAATGCAAGCAGTCATCAATTATAATAACTTACGACTCACCTGTGAAATATCAAAGAACATCCAGGATGCCATTTGCTTCCGCAACCTAGGACTACACATTTCTGAACCATTTTTCACGATTTGATAGCGAGATACGTTTATATATAAATCATAATTTTCGAGTCGACGAAATTAGTAATTGTCATTCGCCATATTGACACACACGAGGTTGCCACTTTTTGAGGATGCTGTAGCGATGAAAAGTATGGATGTATAGCTATGACTCCGAATAGAAACACCTTACATCCAATAATCAATTTACTGCTTACTTCACAAGGTGAATCCTTAAGCTAGTGTCCGCATCAATTATATTCAATGAACATACGAAGTTGTACAATTAATTATTTTCTATTTAAAATTATATTGACAAGCAACCACCGTAGTCGATAGAAAAATCAAGAGTATATTATATATAATATATGAAAGAGTAAAAATAATAGATACTGACTGGTCAATGAATAAAATCTATAATAGCTGTATATAAGTGTATATAATATGTTGGGAGAAGCCCACAATGCCATTTACCACAACAATGGGGAAATGTTAGAAAAAAAATTACGGTGTCTTATTCACATAGCATGGATACGGTGATGTTTGGGGTTTGAAGTGTTTAGATACAAAAACTCGATGTTATTGAGTTTATTTCTAATGGAGATAAACGGTTTTGAGATCAACATATAAAACAGGATTCGAAAATAATATTTATTCATCAACTGTTAACAAATGTCATCGTATCCATTCTATGTGAAACGGTCTATAGTGGAATAATTTTACAATTTATAGGTTTTAATAATAATTCAACAAATTAAATTGCAAGTCTGGATTATTGATTAACGAGATTGACATGATGACGGTAAAAGGTTAATAATTTTTATTAATTTGCAGCTATGTATCTGCCTTCTGATTATAATATTTGTGTACCATTTTTTATTATAGATTTTATTTAATTATAGTTATTGCTTAATACCTTTTGTTTAAGTTTTTTGTTACATTGGATTGGATTTCAGAGTATATTTAACGTATAATCTTATTTCTGATATACGATATAAATAAAGTTTCAAGTCCTATGTAATTAGTGAGTGTAAAACTATACTGTTAGTACCAATTGTCAAAAAGTTTATGAAACATAAAATTAGCGAATAACATCAATGACCGGCACAGGTTCCGGGAAAATTTAGATTAATAAGCCACCCAGGAGTCCAACGAAAGGTCAATAGAGGTCAAATAATTTTGCTTCAACCAATAGTTCTGAGTTTGGCCTCCAGTTGTACTTTATCTTCATGGTTGTGACATATCGATTTGACATATTTACTGGCCAGTGACGTCACGATCAGTGCCATTACATAGAGCAGCGTTTTTGCGCGATTTGAGCTATTTAAATTTTAACATTTATTTTCACCAAAAATAGAAAAGATTCCTATGAAATATAATGGCAGTGTGCTTATAATGTAGCAAACAACGATTTAAAGTAGTTTTCGGAAAAGTGTCAAATACCCTATTGCCATCTAGTGGAGGTGCTTTCTTTTTTTTTAAATACTTCCTTATTGAGTAGTTAGTGGTTTCGTCCATGGGACAGATGAAGAAATTAAGCTATACAGCCAAATCTTAATATAAAAATTCAGTTGAGTTGATACTTTATTAATCCACTACGTCAGTGGATTGTGACATCCCTAAACACGGTACTTCACTTTTGGGGCATAGAGCAAATTAAAAAAAAAAATTCTTTGCGAGAGCGATGTTTTTATGAATAAATACTCATTTTTTTCTGATATAAAATCTGATAAAATTATTGAATCCAAAATTTTATTTTCATAAACTGTGTACGTAATGGCTGGCACGTGACACAGGCTGAACTGTGTTGTGGTGTACCTCAAGCAAGTCCTAGAATTTAGAAATCGTAGTTTAATTATTCTGCTGGGTAAACTCTTTCCCATATTAAATAACTGTTCGCCAGAGTGTTTAGTTGTGCTTCCGTAGAAGTTATTTTTATTTGGTGAACACATTGCCAAAATGGTTTATGAGTCTCTTCCTAGGACAGTGCGAATTTTGTTACTTGGTGACCCAGGCGTCGGTAAAACTTCTTTGATACTTTCACTGGTAACAGAAGAATTCACAGAGCATGTGCCGTCGAAAGCAGAAGAAATTACTATTCCTGCGGATGTAACTCCTGAACAAGTACCAACTAACATAGTTGATATATGTGGTATGATTCAATTTCGAAGAATTGTGGAACTGTATTTATTTTAATTATGGTTTGAACTATAAGTCTTCTCTATATTGTAGTTGCTGAACAATCCTTAGAGCAAGTGGCAGAAGAAATAGAAAAGGCACATGTTATCTGTATAGTATTTTCTGTAGACAAACAAGAGACATTAAGTAAAATCGCTTCTTATTGGCTGCCCTTTGTGAGAGACAATTGCCCAGATGACTTGAGAAAACCAGTTATTCTAGTTGGAAACAAAATAGATTTAATTGATTATTCTGTAATTGATGTAAGTTAACTGTAATATAATATTAGATTAGTTTAGATGTTGATTCCATGACATGCAATAATTAAATTGGAATTACTTTGAATCATGTTTAATCAAAATGCACTTGACTGATGGTTGAGAATATTTTGACTGAATCCAATGTAATATGCTGTTGACCTGCTTGTTATAATTATTTTAATTTTGGATTTACTTAACATTATAAATTTAAGAGTCTAAGTTCTAGTAGTTCAATTGCCCAGTTAGTGAGAGATAATTCAACTGTTTATATAACCTATCTAAACATTTAAAGAAAAAAGATAAGTCTCTTTGAAAACTGTCCCAAGCAATGGGGACTGCTGGATTTTTAGAATTATTTTTATCTCATAATAATTATATCATAATGTAAATGATGTTAAAAATATTTTAATATCAATTTTGGATAGGGAATTCAAAATTTATGTAAAATAAATTACCTATTTTTTTTCTTTTAGAACATTTGGGATATCGCAGAGGAGTATCCAGAAGTGGATAGATGCATAGAATGCTCAGCAAAGACTCTCACAAATGTGTCAGAAATGTTTTACAATGCACAAAAAGCAGTTTTACATCCTATAAATCCAATATATTCTATTGATGAGCAAGAGGTAATTTTTTGATTGTATATAATAGTAACGTTCTGCCAGCAGCTTTGCCTGTATTACCCTTTATTATACATATACACCCTCTGTTTTAACCAGTCTGCATTTTGATGTTAATCGTCGTAAAATTCACTGAGTAGTTAAAAAAAAGATGTCTGTATACAGATAACTACTTTATTTTTATATAACTGCTTTGTTTTATGCTATTTATTATATTAATGTTAAAAGTGCCGAACATATTGTATACATACAAAAGACAATATTTTCAAATATTAACTAGCTCCATCTATTAAATAAACTTAAACTAAATTACTAACATCTTTTTTTTAAATAAAACAAGTAAAATCTGGGTATGAGAATAAAATAATTCCCAGATTAATCATCCATGTTTTGACTTATTATAAAATAGTTTAGAAGTTAATGTTTTAGTTACTGCTTAGTGCTCTTAGTATCAGTGTTGGCACTGGTGATCACAGACATGATTCTTCAGGAACTGATATGTTACTAACATCTATGAATAAAGCTTAAATGTTTGGAGTATAATTTTTTCAGTTGACAGAAAAATGCAAAAAAGCTCTTTCACGGATATTTAAGATATGTGATTTGAATGGTGATGGAGTTCTTGATGACTATGAAGTAACAATTTTTCAAAGAAAGTGTTTTGATACACCGTTGCAACTACAGGTAAGATTTTGTTTTAGCAGTTATACATAATTTAAGTTTTAATTAGTTGTCTTCAGTTTCCTATGATTAAGATATTGTATTCACAATTTTGTAAATTATTAATTACAGGTTTTAGATGAAGTAAAATCAGTAATTGCTCAAAACATCGCGGGCGGTATTGAAAATGAGTGTATAACACTTAAAGGCTTTATTTTTCTTCATTGTTTATTTATCCAAAGGGGAAGAAATGAGACCACATGGACAGTGCTCCGAAAATTCGGATATGATGAGAGTTTAGAATTGACACATGAGTATTTATATATTAAGTGAGTAATATAACTTCTAACTTATCATTGTTATATATAAAAATTGTTGAACTAATAATTTATTATAATTTTTATAGCCTTAAAGTTCCCATAGGTTGTACGTCTGAGTTATCATATAAAGGTCAGCAATTTCTAACACAGATATTTGAAAAATATGACCGCGATAAAGATGGCATGTTAAATCCTACAGAATTGAAAAATGTATTCTCTTGTTGTCCAAGGATACCATGGCACAATTTACGTTACACTGTTCCAACCAATGATAAGGTATTTTTTAATTGTATTATTTAATTTTTATTGTAATCTGTGGGCTATATTATTATGTGTATAATTTTTATTTTTAGGGCTATCTAACGTTACAGGGATGGATGTGTAGATGGACTTTAATGACACTGTTAGATTTACAAAACACAAGTGCATATTTAGCTTATTTAGGCTTTAATTTTCTTGAAAATGAGTCACAAAAATCTGCTATACATAGTAAGTTATAATAAAAATTAATGTTATTTTAATATTAATACTAGTTTTAATATAAATTAAAGGTTGAATAAACAATAGTTAAGTGTCGGTTTTTGAAACAATGTGAATGTCTTTGTCGCTTCCTTTCCAAAGTTATTTTTAGAAGTAATTACGTAATTCCTTGTTTTTTTTCAGCAACTCGTGAAAAAAAGGTTGATATTGCCAAAAAACAGTCCAGCCGTAATGTTTATCAGTGTCACGTTATAGGTCCAAGGTCATGTGGCAAAACATCAATTTGTAGGAGTTTTCTAGGTATAGCTCATAAGGTCAGTGTTGCATTACATGAAAGTATGTATGTTGTAATCTTATGCTTATTAATGTATATGTGTCAACAAATAACACGTATTATCGTTATATAATACTGATATAACACAAAAACAATCACAGTTTAGTGAACGTTGGTATTTTCGTTCTTCTTAAGTAGGACTCTTGAAATGTTTAAAAGATGGTTTATTGTTACATTATCTATGTGTTGCGCACTAGGAGTGCAAACAGCAAGCGCGCCAAATTTCAAATCTATCGATGTTTTTTCAAATTCCAGTAATTCTCATATGGAATAATGTAACTTTAAAGTCGCTAATATTTGCATTAGATAATTCCAATTTACGTCAAATTTAGGATATTGTTAATTCGACATCTTTTAAAGGACGTGTGATTGCAATCTAGTCACATGAATGAGGATTGCGATAGATTTAAAATTAGACAAATATGTATTAGGTTTTGATTTATTACAGAAAATAAAGCCGCACGCACATGAGCGCGGCGACAGTAACAGTTCAGAGAATTGTTGCATTAATACAGTGCTCGTGTACGGACAAGAGAAGAGTCTGGTGCTACGCGAGATCCCTATAACGCGAGTTTCTGATCCGCTGCAGCCGCACGAGGTCAACTGTGACGTCGCCTGCCTCGTATACGATGTGGCCGCGAGTCGATCTTTCGAGTACATCGCCAGGATATATATAGTAATAACATCATCATCATTAGCCCTTTTACGTCCTCACTAGTCTTGAGCGTAATAGTTCGTGAGATCGAACGAGTTACTTCGTGCTTCTAAACGAACCAGTTCGCTCTTGTAGTTCGTTAGTGCATTTAGATGGCCAGCTCTTTGCAGCAGGGGCAGTATTAGAACGAACGAACGATCTGCCTTAGATTCGGTCGATTTCACCTCTACTCATTCTTTCACGAACTACGGAACGGGAAATGTGTGAACTAGTTCGCGTAGTTCGTCTGTGCGAGTCATGAACCAGTACGTTCGCGAATTACACAATATTAGTCTCCACTGCAGGGGCTTAGGGGGGCTACCATCACCTCTTATAGCAATGTCTAATCCATGCGGCGAGGGGGACAGCGCTATCAGAATCAATAGCGGTGTCCTGCTTGTTGCTAGAATTAAGTATTGCTATAAGAACTAATATTTAGACCTCAGACTTTCCTAAGAACGGTTAAGGAAGATGGGCCATGATCCTCCACGATGGCACAATGTGGAGGTATTAACGGCAGCAAATACAGCCGGAACCAATGGCTTTACGTGCCTTCCGAAGCACGGAGTACCTCGAGATTGTAATTTTTGACCACCCATCCCGTGATCGGTAGACTATTTTTTTTTATTCTTGGCTAAGAAAAATAAAACAAACAATCCAATAAACATTCTAGTGTTGACACAAGGATTAGGCGAGTAATTTTCCTTTGCCGAATAGCTTCTTCAGTATTATACATAGAAGTCCGCCTAAACGGATAAAATTTCCTTGTAGAAATATTTCGCGGAGAGTCATATTCCGGTACTGATAGTGGGTACCCGGGGTGAAGCGTTGCCAGCGCGGCAGGAATATATTCTGCAGCCGGACGTTTTCTGCACCAAGTACCAGTTGTTGCCGCCGCAGACGTTCAACGTGCGCGAAAATAAACACGACATATTCGTGAAAATCGCCACCATGGCTGCTTTCCCGTAAGTAGAATGTTTTAAATGAAATTGTTTTTCTGCATATTCATTATATATCTATATATGTATTTTAGCAATTCGACACCTTATTCCCGAGTAGGTAAAGCTCAAGGCCATTTTTGTATTTTTTATAGGCTATACTCAAAAATTTTAAGTATAGATCTGTCTTTTAAAAAATTGTGTCTTAAATCCAAAAGAAAGTGTCCAAACATTTTCCAAAAATACTAGAGCAGTACCTTACGTACGTAACCGAAATTAAAACTACATTCATTATAAATATTTCATTATTATTAAATTAAAACAGAATCGGTATCTAGCAGTTTCTATAAAACGATTTAACACGATATCGATCGAGTGGTTTGATTTGGACATTGTGTGTTAAAGTTCATTTCAATGTTACGGATATCTGCCTTTTGCCAACAGTATAAATAATTTCGTACCATATAATTATAAATATATGGAATTTTAGTACAAACCAAATTTTATACCAACGAATTTTCGCCGAGTAAGTGAGAATAATCTAATCTGTTATCCTCACAGTTAATAAGCTACCATGAGCCTCCTTTGTTTACATTTTTGATCTCGGAATAATGAATCAAATTTAAACTGAACTCTATACAAATGGAAATACGTAATAAGGTGTCGCTATGCATATTTGTGTTAATTTTTAACTTTGTATAGCGCCCTTCCTCTACCCCACCACCTCTACGGTCCATGCAACCGGATTTTATACTTTTATTTTTTTTTACTATCGTATGTATTTTTACAGTGTATGATATTTTTCTTTGATTTTATTTAGGGATTTTGAAGCATGTCATTATCAAATATGAAAAATTATCATTTTTCATATTTTGTTTCCAAAAATAAATTATAATTTCTAAAAACGGTAGTTATTTCGAGAAAACGGCAGTATGAGTCACAAGTTTATCGTCTAACTGAAAGTAATTCTAACAGAAAACGAAAACTATTTGAGATTCATCACTCGATTAAATTTTTCGTGTGAGAAAGAGGATTGTTCCCTAATGAAACAAATAACTTTTATTTATTTGATATTGAATTGATTGTAATTCTTATGATGATTAATTAAAAACATAATGGCTGATTAGAGCCAGTATCGGATGACTTTAGAAGTGAATAATTACTCTCACCCTATCCAATCTCAAAATTTTTGTGAAAGACTTTGTACAGATCTTTCACAAAAATTTCTTCGCCTCTTCTTTGTGATACTTTTGAGATAGTTAGTATGGTCGAATGAGATAGTAAACTAAAAGGTCACAAAGTTCACGTATGTAGATTGAATGCAGCTAGAAATTTTTAACAAACGTATTTCCCTGTTTGTTTCAATATGTACAATAAACTTTTATTGTACATGTATGTAATGTACAATAAAAATTTATCATAGGGGCCATCAGCAAATATTATTTAAAGTCGTCTTTCTTAAAAACAAATGAAATATTGTAAAACCTAAATGGTTTTAATAAATAGCTATTTGAATATTGGTATTTCACAATTCAACTGTTATGCCCTACCATTAAATGGGTCATGATGATAAACTAGCAAGCGTTAATGCAGTCTTCTTTTAAAGTATTTATTTGATAATTATAATAAAAAAATAAAACAGTCATAACAGGTATGTCATGACAAATATTTAGTCCAAAGAGATAGATAGATAGATGAATTCTTTATTGCTCACACACAAATGAAAGTTTACAGGAAATTTCTTAATTCTAGTGGGCAAAGGCGGTCTTATCGCTAAAATCTCTTCCAGACAACCCTTGTCTTAAAGGACACCTGTCCGAAGGATGTGGTAGTGTGCCAACATTTACAAAAGAGTTATAAAATAATAACCTAATACAAATATATTACTATAAAATATAATACATACTAATAATACGCATTAACTATACACTACGTATACATAATAAATCTATCCGTACTAATGCAGACTAAGATTTATCCAGTAGGTACTTGTGAAGGTCTCTCATAAAAACATTAACAGATTAAAAGTGTATATTAGAGTAAAAGTATATATATTAATCAAAGCAAAGAGTAAAGTATAACCATATAGTTTCTGGGAAAACTTTTTTGTTAAGAACATGAAGTTGATTCTATCATCTATCTTTATTCTTTTCAAGCAATTTAAAGATATAAACATATACAGAAGTGAAGTTCCTTCTAATGGGGAACTCACGTTTACGTGTAGTTATGATGTAACAAAATTAATTTATAGCACTAAGGACGACTAATAGTTTTAAGTTAAGACGACAATTATGCATGTCATAGACATAGTCCAAACGTACTAGCCAATGTTGCCAGTGCTAATTTTCAGTATTCCGTGTAAGTTAGATACAAAGCAATGTCATCAAATAGGTACAATTCTAAAATTGACGTCGTCTAGAAGAAAATTATTCAATATTTCTCTCAAAGGTACTCCCGGGATCTTTAATAACAGGAACGACAAACATGTAGTTTCCCAGAATCTATATGTTGCTTATTTTCCATTGTAATATTTTTGGCGATGGCTATACATTGTTATTAATTTTTTTTTTATTAAAAATGATATATGTATATTCCAAAATTTTAAATATTTCAATAATGAACTATTTCTTTGAATAACTCTATAATATCTCCTAGACATATGTCTTCTATAATAAAAATATACCTATTTGTTCCAAACATGGCGTTGTCAATGTATGTTTAATATTAAACATTTCTTTGTACTACAAATTAAATGAACAATAAACCACTATTTTGCATAAGACCATAGAGTAGGGCGATTGTCGTAGCATTGTAACACTGGTTTTCATATCGTTTCCTAAAGGCCCGTCCTATCTTCCTTGTGGGCCAGCCTAAACACAGGCTAAATAAGTAATTGGACAGTTTGAACTAATTTGACTTGTACTGTCGTTTTAATTCATTATGGTTTCCGCTAGAGGCGTTGCTGTGCAATGTATGGTAACGTCACTAGTTTTCGAGATCTTAAATGCTTACCTCTAGTACAAATATCAAGTCATTGATTAATTTAAGAGTTATATTTTTCATAATGAACAAAAACTTGTATGCTCAAGTTAAGATTGTTTAATAGTTTCTACAGTCTACTTACTCTTCCTACCACCATTCGAGAGTGGTCATTATATTATTTTACTAGGAAAACATAGTTAAAAATACATATACTACCCATAACTGCCTACCTAATATGTATTTATTACATAAGTATTGTGCTCAGAATACTGTTTTAATCATTTGTATCAGTCAATTTCAAGCTGCTTGGATTTTATTCAGCAAGCACAGGTAAGTAGTAACAATAGAATAGAGTACACTTAGGGTCGGCGCATCTCTGACAAAATATCCGTCTCGTAAGTTCGGTTCCGTGAAATAACAAATATATAATAGGTATGTTATTCAACCTTGCACACCCAATCGATCGTCCGTCAGTCAGTCAAGACTACTGACGCATAATTGTGTTTAGACGGATCTGCGTTCAGATATGCACTGACACTTAGTTTTAATATTATGTGGTCTGAATAGGATCCTGAATATTAATATACTTACAAAAATATTTATAGATGCCGCCATCCGTACCAATTGCAAGTAACAAATTTTTAATTTGCAGATATTTATTGTCAAAGTATGATGCTGAAAATTTTAAATCTTTTATAACCAACTAGACAGCCCGCTTTATTTCGTATCACCTGTCATTAGGTATTGTAGGTGTCACTACTTAGTTGCGAGTTGATATATTATATAATTGTACACTGCGCCATCTATCTTCATAATTTTAGAAAGTGCTAAATGAACTCGTGGTTTTAATTATAGTCTAGGAATAAAATACCCCCCCCCCACCTCTATGCTACGCCTTTGTATACAGCTAATTCTTCATCACTGTAGGAAATTAATGATTTACCTTTATTAAAATAATCGTATTCTGAAATCCCACCAGATAGGATGTTTCTATATTTTGCCTAAAAAATGAAATTGTATCTTTATTTTGTCATTATGGTCTTATTAATTCTCTTGCGAGTTTTTCATAATCAAACTTGAAACGATTGGGGCAATTTCGGGCCATCTCCTTAAATACAATTATGTATATTGGTGAGCTAAAGACAACCGTCTTAAATGAATTTAAAACATATTTTAGGGGATAAATTAGAAAATTAAAAAAGAAAGTTCCGAAAACTGTCTTGTGTGACATATCACAAGAAAAAGCTTATCGTGTGAATCTCAACTGTTTTTTTTGTTTTATTACAAAATAAATAGTTTCCAAGTTATTAAAGAAAAGTAACCATGCTAGGAAAACTAACCAACTAGGAAAATGCTGAATTTCCATTTTTTTTTGTAGACACTTGAAGCATTTTGCAAGTCTGACCGGAGATAATTCTTCGTGGTGGAAGGCCGGTATCGGCGTCGCCGCTGCGACTGTAATGGGCTTCGTTATCATTAAGATCTTCAGCTTCCAAAGACGATAAACTCTTTATTGCTTGTTGTCCACGTTGTATATAAAAGTTGTATTAGACTAATTTTTGTTTCAATCGCAATAAATTATTTATTTATGTACCAAAGAGAAGAAAATAGAATGTGTTACGAATTAGAATGATTTGTTTTAAAATAAAATGTCAATAAAACGTCTTAATTATATTTCTGTTTTTTTCCTTTTAGTATTAACAATTCTTCATTCTTAAGTTAGGTACGCTTATCATCACTGGGTTTGCGTGGTGGGTAATGAATGACCCATTCTCCCTATTCGATTTTATCCATAGGGAAGGCCTGAGTCCCAGCAGACACATTAATAGGCTGGTGATGTGTTGTGACGTAAAAGCTATAACTTTTGATAAGTTTTATAATGCTCTCAGGCAACTAATATCTTCATGTAACTATTCATCAAAAGTTGAGCTACTAAATGATCACTTATTACGTGATCGACTAGTACAAGAGTTGTGTGACAAATCCCTTCAAGAAAATTTACTCCGAATGGAAACTCTCCGAAGGGTTAACTCTCGATAAAGTTGCAAATGTTTGCCGAGCCAGTGAGATTAAATTAAACTTCGGAAATAGAAGCCATAAAAAAGAATGCAAGTTTCCACTAAGTGTAAGGAAAAGCTTAGACAGAATAATACTGTAATATTTTTGTCTGCTGCTACAAAAATATTACAGAGGTAACTTGTTCCTATGTAACCACAAGAAGTGGAAGAATAACCTAGAAATATTGAATACAGTTACAATATAGATAGTTTATTATATAATATTAATCTAGAGCGGAAGGTGATTTATAGTGTATGGTACAATATCCATAAAACATAGGATGGTTGAGCCTATAGTTGACCAGGCATCGGTTGTTGACCACTTGCGTCATTGAGTAACAGTATTAAGGTTTCTCGTCACGTTGTGTTTATTTTTTCGTTGGTCTCATGTTGTCAGTAGCAACACAACTCAACCAATCGTACTATGGTTAGAATGAGACAGACAGTGTTGGCAATTATAATGTTTTAATTTCCCTTGTTGCCATAGATTATACACTTAATACTGGTACTTGTTGCCGTCACTTGCCATCCGGCCGCCATTGCAGTAAAGAGCGTGTTTTGTCAGGTAAGGATGTTTTACATTGAATTTGCATTATTTTTCAATGAACTTCACTGTAATGATTGATTTTTGGATAGATTATATATATGGTTATTATGAAAATTTTCAACGAAAAATAGGCCCGCCAACAGTTGACACCTGATGAGGATCGATTGATCGATGTATGTAAGTGGGTAAATGCACTGGTCAAAAAGGGAATCCCTATTAAAAAAGAGCAATTAATAGAGACCGTCACTAAAATAATTAAAAATGGCAATCAATCGAGTCCATTCAAGGAGGGGGGATTCCAGGACGGTAATGGTTTGATAATTTTCTGAAAAGAAATCCAGGTATTGCTAAGCGATACGCAAGAGTCTATAAATTCATTCAACGCTGATACAATTATCTTAAATATATAAAAGATTGTGTCACGATGTATGTTGCCAATAAACTCCAAAACTATTGAACCGATTTCAATCAAATTTCACATGTACCCGTATTTTGGACTAACTTACTGGGCCTTGTCCCCGTTATAACCAAGATCTTTAACAATTCAGTCTCGACTGGAGTATTTCCTTCGTCTTGGAAGTACGTATTTGTTATTCCGCTTCCAAAAAAATCGAAACCTTCATCATTCTCCGAATATCGTCCTATATCCATACTTCCTTTTCTCTCCATAGTTCTAGAAAAACTTGTCTATCGCCAACTTACCGCTTTTCTTAACTCAAATCACCTCCTTAATCCTTTCCAGTCTGGTTTCCGATCAGGTCACAGCACTTCTACTGCACTAATTAAAATTACTGATGACATTCGACGGGGTATGGATGAAAAGCAGCTTACATTGCTGGCATTACTAGATTTTAGCAATGCCTTCAATTCTGTTGATTTTGATGTATTGCTTGCTATCATGGTTTCTCTTAACATATCTCCGGCTGCAATTGGTTGGTTTCGAAGCTTCCTATTAGGGCGTCGGCAACGCATCCGCATTGACGATACTGTCTCTGCGTGGTGCAACATCACAGCCGGCGTTCCGCAGGGCGGCGTCTTATCTCCTCTTCTCTTTATTATTTTCATTAATTCCATCACTCACGTGCTTTCATGTTCCTATTACCTCTATGCTGACGATTTACAGATATACACTCAGGCACCGTTTCTGCAACTCTCAGAAGTAGTATCTGTTATTAACTCAAACCTCTCGATTATTAGTAGTTGGAGTAAATCATACGGTTTGACCGTTAACCCTTCTAAGTCTAAAGCCATAATAATAGGTAGTCCTCATTTGACTTCTACGATCGTTTTTGGACCTGTAATTCTTGATGGTACTATTATTCCTTATGCCGAAACTATCAAAAATCTTGGCGTCGTCTTTGATCGAAATCTTTCCTGGAAACCCCAGGTAAAGACTATTAGGAAAAGGGTGTTTGCAGCGTATGGTTCTCAGAATCAATTACGTATTTTTTTGCCGACCAGTACCAAAGTCACTTTAGCGCATTCTCTTATGTTTTCCATTATTTATTACGCTGATGTTTATTATACAGATCTGTCTGAGGCGTATGGTTCTCAGAATCGATTACGTATTTTTTTGTCGATCAGTACCAAAGTCGCTTTAGCGCATTCTCTTATGTTTTCCATTATTTATGACGCTGATGTTAATTATACAGATCTGTCTGAGGAACTTCTCACTAAATTAAGAGACGCTCGTCTGCAGAATGCCTGCATCAGATTTATTTTTAATCTTCGTAAATTCGACCACGTGTCTTCATTCCGCTCCAAACTCAACTGGCTCTCTATTCGCCGGCGCAGGGACACACACACTCTAACGTTTCTTTATTCTAAACCTTTCCTGCCATTTACCCCACCTTATCTCTTTTCTTTTGCTTTTCTTTTCACCACTCTACATCCCATTTTTCATTGTTATCATCCTCCATTCTTACCCTCAAGTTTCCTCACCACACAACTGACTTCTCTTATTCCTTCTCTGTGCACGCTGAACGACTGTAGAAGTCTTTGCCAGAAAACATCAGGAAAGCTCGCTCGCTGAAATCATTTTGCGATCAAGTTAAACACCATTTCCTTTCCAGAACATGAATATTTATCATAATTTACACTTTTATTTAATACTAGCTTCGTCTGCGTGGGAAGTATTTTGGTAGAATTCTTTTTTTCCTATGAATGCAGACGAATCCAATAAGATTAATGGGCCATAACCCACTACGCGGGCTTAATGCGTATCGGTGGGTGTTAACGTTGCTGATGCAGCCAGGACTAACGCCTTAACGTGCATTATGCCAGTATTATGCACAGTGCTCAAGATAATAATGTTTTGGTCACCCATCCTGTAAACGGTCCTTACGAATGTTATTTTTCTATTTTTTTCTCGTTTCTCATGCTCTGGTTGTTGCTTGTGTCTGAGCATTTTATTCGTACCTTTAAACGGTCCTTCTTTTGTTGCAATCTTTTTAAATTATTATTATTTGTCTAGTTGTATGCACAATCGGTTATTTATTGTTCTATTTTTCATGTAACGCTAGTTTGCCTGGAAGAAATAGCCGGCTAGCGATAAGTTTGTCGTTTGTACTTATTTATGTAAAATAAGTATTCATGTATGTCCTTGTTGTGCAGTATTTACTTACTTATTTAATTGTAATTTAAACCGAATGCGCTAACCCACTACGCCATCGGACCCCTTATGCCTAAGCAATACTAATATTATAAAAAGGAAAGATTTGGTTGTTTGTTTGTTTGCATCGAATTTGCTCCAATACTACTGGACCGATAGTTGCAGAGCGATTCCGACCTACGGGAAGCTACATCAGACGCAGATGTCATAGGCTATAATTTTGCGGCATAGTTGTGGGATAATAGCTAGTTCATTATACCCTGTGAAATCTTATCTGCGGTACGCCTGTGGAGTATGAAGTTAACATGGGTTGGCGATATTCGAATGCGAACTGCGAGCTCTTTAAGAGACCAAGCGCATTTCCCTATCAAAAGAAGTTTCATACTCATACCATATTGCATGTATGTAAATGCTTTAGATTCAACTTTATAGTGCATGAGCCTCGCGATGGGCAGTTAAATACGCTTCGCGTTTTTCAGGTGTCTCCCGAGACCGAGCGCTTTCTGTCTGTTCTCTTTCTTTGTCTATAAAAGTCGGTCAGTACATGTCCGACGGAAGATACCTGGAGTTTTATTTATTGATATAAAAAAAATATATACATATTTTAATTTCGACTTTCCACACTCGAAGGAAATCGTCTACTAACATACTTCCGTGAGGTGCTTAACTGAGCTTCTGTCAAATTTGAACGGCCCTCATCATCATCATCATCAGCTCTTTTACGCCACCAACTGCAGGGCCTCAGGCCTTTGTTTAATAATTTTTGGTCACCCATCCCGTCAACAACTCTTGCAAAAATCGCTTAGCAATATTGATCGTGCGCAGTGGCGCTTATCCGTAGCGCCACCCAGCTACGAATTAATATTGTCTATAAAATGATAATTTGTATGATGAAAAATAAAAAAAAAGATTCCAAAATATTCACACTTCCAAAGTAAGTTGACCTCATTTATAAATGGCCAATAATATTAAATATGGTTCAGGTTATAATGGACGTGTGCTATAGATCACGCGAGTAGGAGAACAAGCGAAAAGAGCCTTCCGATGATGCAATTAAGCATCGAGTAGTTTACAGTGAACGCATATTTTTATCAGATTAGGTTCACGTTGTCGTCGGGGCCAGCGGAGGTGGTTGGCAGCCCCCGCATTGAACGGTTTCGTCTGTCTGGGAGAGGCACTTGATTTACCCGAGCCTCTCCAGTTTTCCATCTGCAAGAGGACCAATGTCAAGTCCAATACTTGAGTGTTCTGGTGACGCGGCCATAGCTTGCCGGGTTTCATCTCCCATGAGACGGTGTCATCATCATCATCATCGTCAGCCCTTTTCCGTCCCCACTGCAGGGCCTCAGGCCTTTCTTATGGATGGTTAAAGAGGATGGGCCATGACCCTCCACGCTGGCCCAATGTGGATTGGAGGGTATTACCGACTGCAAATGCAGCCGGGACCAACGGCTTAA